AGATGGACAATAAATAGAAATTCCTATAAAAATACAATACAGTTTCATTTCCTAACCATTCTATCATTAAAAAAAAAATTTCTTTTAGCAAGTGTCAGCTATGGAATCATCATTCATCGCTGCCACATATCTGGGGAAAGTGGGAGGGGGTGGTGTTAATTGAATAGCTCTTAGCAGACAAAATAATATTGTTTTGATAGTTCAAGGTTAAAGAGTGGCGCAGAAAGAATTGGAACTTACTTTGGGATTGGTTCATGTGATGTGATGACGAGTAAAAAGGGGATGGTTGTAGGTTGGGACATTGTGGGGAAGCTGGGAAACTTTTAGTTTCAGAATTCCACAGAATGTGCCAGATGCTATTCTAATAAAAGTACTTTGAGATTATGTTTGTCTTGGAGTTACTGACAGGAATGGATTTTCCTTGGAATGCTGACAGCAGGTTTATAACCAACCATGTGTCTTAACTGTTGATCTCTTAGTATTTCTGTAGAATAACTAGTAGTTTATCATGCATGTTAATGATAATGTCCTGTTTTAATCATTGTTAATATGTCCTTATAACTTTTTGAAATATTTCAATAAAAAGAATATATAAATATCCCTTTGATAAAATTCAGCAGCACCTTTTGACAAGTTTATTTCTATTTATTTTTCTCTTCTTGCTTTCACTACACCTATTTCTTAATGAAAAAGGATGCTGGAACATCTGTAGGGGAAAACTTTTGTGAAAAGGTGGGTTATATTTTTTTGTCCAAAAATCAGGCTTTTATCTGTCTTCTGAATATACAGTATTAACTATCAAATTTATTTCTCTGTTCTTAGTTTGTGGATTTTATTCTAAATCACCAGAAAATAAAAGGGTATCCAGTTGCTAAGAAGGAGGTAGTTAGTAAAATCACCAATCCTTTCCAGGAATACTTTGTAAGCTTGGATGTTTTGAAATAGAATAGTGAAATAATGGTGAAATTTACCATTCTTATTTACCTAGGATTATGTAATCTTATATAAAATTCTTTACTTTGGATTCTTTCAGGAGGAATTCGTCACTTTTTATCTCTGCTATTTATGCTTCCCTATACATTGCTGATTTCTCAATATACGCTTACTTTAAGTCTTAACCTTTTTCACATTTTTCTGTGAAAAAATATTGTTAGAACATTAACTTTTAATGTCAGTTTTCTCTCCTGTATCTTGCTTTGTTTGTTTGCATTTTGACTCAAAGGCTTTTAGATGTGCTCAAAATATTTTGTTACTTGTGAAAAAAAGTTGAATAATGTTCACTTACTTGAAAGTTAATAAGACCCCCTTGAAGGTGATGGAGATGGGTCTGAATCTTGTTATCTGGGGGGAGTTCAAGCCAGTTGTTACTGACAAAATGGACAGGGTCCTTGGAACTACTACTGGTAGTTCTGCCACCTATATTCTGAATCCATGCCCATCCTGGTTGATTAAGGCCTCCTGGGAAATGGCATGTGGTTGAGTCCAAGCAGTGATCGATGTCTCTTTGTAGGAGAGATAATACAGCTGTCATTTGTCCTGATACTCATCCTTTTGTTGGTACTTGATGCATCATGATAGGAAAAGGGTGGCGGCTGCCGAGTCAGCCATGCTGGGAAGATTGCTGACATAAGAAAAGGGACAGACAGAAAGTTGTGCACCCCCTTCTCAAGAAGCCATCCTTGCACTCCATAGTATTGAACAACTTTTGTCCAGTCTCCAATCTTCCTTTTGTGGGGAAGTTTGTTGAAGGGTGGTTGATGCACAACTACAAAGGGCTTTGGATGAAGTGAATTATTTGGACCTTTTCAGTTGGCTTCAGGCCGGAACACAGCACTGAAATGGCATTAGTCACACTTGTTGATGACCTTTGTGGAGGGCTTGAGATAGAGTTGGTGTGACTCTTCTGGCCCACCTGGATCTTGTAGCAACTTCCAATATCATCAATCTTGCTATTTTTCTGGATTGGTTTTGAAAATTGGGAGTATGAAACACTGTGGTGATTCTCCTCCTTTCTCTGGCTGGTCTTGGTGTTGATATGGAAAGAATGGTTGAATCCTAGGTCCCTTCAATGTGAGTGAGCTTCTGAAGACCTGGCTTTTCCCTTAACTACTGGGATAAGATTAAATGATTGTGTGTTGAAAGTTTGATTTGGCACCAGACTTTCTTGTTTTTAATGTTTTAATGTATTTGGTTTTATAATTTTAATATTTTTGTACAGTGGTACCTCGGGACTCATTGTTAATTGGTTATGAGAGCTGTGATGAGTACTAAAAACAAGGAATGCCAAACAAACCACATGATTTACCACATGACCCTTTGTTTTGGTTAGGAAGGATTTTCTGTTTGTCCTTTTCTTATGTCAGCAACTTTTCCAGAATGGCCAACTTCTGGTCCATTCTCCACACCTGTCGCCCTTTTCCTATCACAGCGCATCAAGTACCAAAAAAGGATGAGTACTAGGACAATGTTTTCACATCAAAATGTGTCAAGTACTAAATTCTATGAGTTTTGAAGCAGTTGAGTACCAAGGTACCATTGTATGTTGTTTTAATTTTTGATTCAGAGCTGCCCAGAGTTGGTTATAAGATGGGTAGCTATATAAATTTTATAAGTAAATTAAGGTAGCATAAAGTGTTAAATTAAATAATTCTAAGTTGACTAAAAGATAGATGCTGGGCTACTTAACTATGTCTAATGGAGCACTGCAAGGAAAGGAACACTATGCAAAAAATATTCAAGGATAGCTTCTTAAGTAGTTTGTGATTAGTTGACATTTGTAAATGGTTTGAAAAAACAAGTGACTTCAATCACTGAATGAAGGTTGATGATTTTGTAGCATCATTATGTTGGGATGAGACAATTTGAAACTTGCAGGAACTTGTTTTTTTTTTTTAATATAGCCCCGAAGGCTGCCAGTTGAAGCCAGTTGCTGAATACTTATTCAGGCATGTAACCATATAAATTTAAAAATATGGAGTTTCTGAGCACACATTCTAATACAGAAATCAGATTTTAGTATCAGTACCAAGACTAAAATGATATTCATGAAAAATCTACTCTTGGTCTACTCGATCACCAGTATTTCTCTAATCTTAAGTAATTGGGGAGAATGAATTCATTTAAGTATTGCTGTTATTAGACAATGAAAAGCACAAAACCTGATTAAACTGTTGCAGAACATTTAGAGACATATCAATACATTTACATCTACTTACTTTTAGATTTACAATACATTACAGTATTGTTCATTATTTTGTAGAAAGAACGACATTGAAATTAATGCATAGATAAATTACTGCAACAGTTTAGAAAATGAAAAAGAATTGGAAAGATATTTGGGGGAGGTGTAAGGACATGTAGAATAGTATGAATAATCGTAAAATTTAGGAAATTAATTGTTAAATATTTTCCCCAAGTGCTGGGATACTATTATGACTGCACATATAGAAGCTTGACTTGTTACCAGGTTTTTGTTGTTAATGTTTTAATGTGTTTAGTTTTATATTTTTACTATGATTTTATATGTTGTTTTAATTTTTGATTGGGAGCCATCCAGAGTTGGTTAGAAGATGGGCAGCTCTATAAATGTTTTAAATAAATAAAAAATATAAAGGAAATACTAAATGTAAATATAACGAAGAACATGAAGAAACAATTATGCGAGAATATTATTGTAAAGAAAAGGGACTCATAAAATACATGTGGCAATGCCACTTTATTGTAATTCCAATAACAGAATCAAAATTGTAACGCCTAAAAGGTTGATTTGTGTATGATATTGTAATGGCCAGTTTATGCATACAATAAATTGTCTAATTTAGGTTACTAAAAACAGGGGGAAATATTTTGACCATACATGGATGTTTATTATATATTTAAAGCAAATATTTCACTGGTAAAATAAAAGGGTGCTTAAGATTATCAGCAGTAAAAGTATAAATTATGAAATTATGATTACAACACTAAAGTAACTCAGAGAGAAGTTAATAGCTCCCCTTAAAATAAAACTCACAGCAGCTTAAAAGCAAGAAAGTTTTCTGAATAAATGTGCTTTATTCTGTCAACAGAAGGATTACATAGATGGAGCCTAGACTTCCTTGACTGGGAATAAAATAAAAACCATTTGACAAGTGGGCAATTGAAGGAAGGAAGGAAGGAATAAATGTAGTATTGATCATTAATGAAAATTCCAAAATCCAAGGTCATACAGGATATGTATTGGGACCAACCTAATGTATAAAATTGTTTCAAGATTTCTAAATTTCTTCATTAAGCAAAGTTTTATTTAAAAGTGGTTGTGGGGAAGAAGGAAGGACTTTACTTTCTTTGGAAATCATGAAGTTTGCATATCCAATTATAAAAAAAATAGTGGAAAATGATTCCTAAATATAATGTCTTAGTTTTGTCTCCAAGTTTAATTAAAAAAGAGGTTGGGCGCATGGTTGGTTTGATTTTTTTTTCTTTTTGCAGCTAGGGCAAAAGTGCTATAAGTCATATTATCAAAGATTTTAAATAATTATGCAAGATATTGACTTTACATCATACTAAAATGTGAAATATGGTGGAAAGCAACAGAATCTCTCCAAATCATTGCAGGAAATGCCTATATTGGTATTGCTGATTTAAATATTCAACAAGAGTGTCTATTCATTAAAAATACTATTGTGTTATACTATATTTAAAATAACATTTTAGAAATCAAAGTATGAAATCCATGGGTAATCCATCTTGTCCCTAATAGCTGTTGAGATTGTTCAATAGGCAGACTGCAAAAGTGGGAAAATATCAGGTGTTTGCTTGTTTGCTTTTCCAAAAGTATCAACAGAAATATTTTCTGCTTAAATATCAAAGTTTTAATTTGGCTATCATAACTTATATACATGAACTGTTTTAATGTCATCTAAATTGGTGCCTATTTGTTCTGTATCTCCTAATCTGATATCAAGTTCTAGAGTCTATTGTGTCACAGTGTATCCTAAGTTTTTCTGTTTTTATTATAGCATACCTCTCACAGTGAAGGACGACAGGAAATTTCCTCCCGAACTAGTCGGTCTGGGGCTCGCTGTAGGAATTCTATAGCTTCCTGTGCAGATGAGCAGCCTCATATTGGGAATTACAGACTCCTTAAGACAATTGGAAAGGGAAATTTTGCAAAAGTGAAACTGGCCAGACACATCCTTACTGGCAGAGAGGTAAAGTCATTTTTTAAAAAAATTTGCAAGATAAATTTCCTAATACAATAATTTTTAATAATTAAAAAAAATGAACTTTGCATAAATTTAATAGGATGTTTTTTCTGTATAATTAATACTAACGAAGTGTGTTAGCAGTACAACTAAAAGGTTGATTAAATGTTGCTAGATTAAACTGTGGTTGTTGTTCAGTCGCTAAGTCTTTATGACCCCGTGGACCATAGCACATCCTTCACTGTCTCCTGGAATTTGTCCAAATTCATGTTCATTGCATCAGTGACGCTATCTAACCATCTCATCCTTTGCTGTCCCCTTCTCTTTTTGCCTCCAATCTTTCCCAACATCAGGGTCTTTTCCAGTGAATCCTCTCTTCTCATTAGTTGGCCAAAGTATTTGAGCTTTAACTTCACTATCTGTTTTCCAAAGTACAGTCAGAGTTGATTTTCTTTGGGATTCACTGATATCCTTCCAGTCCAAGGGACTCTCTAGAGTCTTCTCCAACACTAAATTCAAAAGCATCAATTGTTCAGCACTCAGCCTATGGTCCAACTGTCACAGCCATACATTATTACTAGGAAAACCATAGCTTTGACTATATCGACCTTTATTGGCAAGGTGATGCTTTTTAATATGCTGTTTTACCATAGCTTTCCTCCCAAGAAGCAAATGTCTTTTAATTTCACCGCTGTGGTGGCCACCTGCAGTGATCTTGAAGCCTAATAAAATAAAATCTGTCATTTCTTCAATTTCTTCCTCTTCTATTTGCTAGGAAGGGAAAGGATGCCATGACATTAGTTTTTTTTTAATATTGAGTTTGTAGCCAAATTTTGCACTCTTATCTTTCACCCTCATCAAGAGGCTCTTTAGCTCCTCTTCACTGTCTCCTATTACAGGGGTCGCCAACCTTTTGGACCTCAGGGACCACCAAACTAATAATTTTAAATCCCGTGGAGAACTAATATGAACCTAGCATGCCGCTCACTGAAGTGCCTGGACTCCCACTGACAGGATGGGATCCTTCAGGGCACTTAGCTTGGCTGCCTGTTTCTGCAACCTTAAATACTCAGAACCATTTGGACCCGTTTCCCACAGAAAATAAAACACCGGGATCTCTCATCTCTCTCTCTCTCTCTCTCTCTCTCTCTCTCTCTCTCTCATCTCATTTCTCTCATCTCTCTCTTCCCCCCCCCTTTCTCCGGGATGGGGGGGGGGGAAAGGAGCCTCTGAACTGCTGCTGGGTGGTGGGAATCTGATGTCCGGATGCCGACGAGCCACGTGCTGAAGACCAGATGGCTGGCGGGTTGGGGCAACAAGGGTGATACCAGTGGCAGATGTATTGATGCATGCGGGAGATCGTGGCATCGGAGACCTTCCCGGGTGTTCCCTGGCCTGCAAGGGGTGGGGTGGGGGGAAAGGAACCTCTGAACTGTTGTGTTGCATCCTGCCTCTGTGCATTGAGCAGGCCAAGAGGCTGCCAGCGATGCCCTCAAGTGAAGATGTTGCGAGGGGGAGGCTCGACCCTTCCTCTCAGGAGCTGCAACGTGCTCACTGCCCCTCTGGCAGCTGCCAAGCCACCTGCCACCGTGCTTCCTCCTCGCCAGAAACACACCGTGCTTCCTCCTCGCCAGAAGGAGGAGGCTTGGTGGCTGCCAGAGGGGCGGTGAGCGCTTTGCAGCTCCTGAGGGGAGGGGGTCAAGCCTCCCCCTCTCAACATCTTCACTTGAGGGCATTGCTGGCAGCCATTCGGCCTCCTCGATGCACGGAGGCAGGACGCAACACCAGTTCAGAGGTTCCTTTGCCCCCACCCCCACCCCCTCGCAGGACAGGGAACACCCGAAAAGGGCTCCAATGCCGCAATCTGCATGCTACTTTCCCTCCCTGCACGCATCAGTCCATCCGCTGCTGGTATCACCCCTGTTGCACTGCGAACCACCAAAATTTTCTCACAGACCACCAGTGGTCCGCGGACCATCGGTTGCCGACCTCTGTCCTGTTAGAGTGATATTGTCTGCATATCTGAGGTTGTTGATATTTCTTCCTGTGATCTTAATTCCAGCTTGTGATTCATCCAGCCCAGCATTTCACAAGATGTACTCTGCATGTGTTAAATAAGCAGGGTAACAATATATAGCCGTGTCACACTCCTTTCTCTATTTTGAATCAATCAGTTGTTCCATGTCCAGTTCTAACTATTGCTTTTTGACCCACATAGAAGTTTCTCAAAAGACAAGTAAGTTGATCTGATACTCCTATCTATTTAAGAACTTGCCACAATTTGTTGTGATCCACACAATCAAAGGTTTTAGCATAGTTAATGAAACAAGTAGATGTTTTTCTGGAACTTCCTTGCTTTTTCCATAATCCAGCAAATTTTGGCAGCTTTATCTCTAGTTCCACTGCTTCTTCAAAACCCAGCTTGTACTTCTAGTAGTTCTTGGTTCACATATTGCTGAGCCTAGCTTGTAGGGTTTTGAGTATAACCTTGCTAATGTGTGAACTGAACTCAACTGTACAGTAGTTTGAGCATTCTTTGGAATTGGCCTTCTTTGGGATTGGAAAGTTAACTGATCTTTCCCAGTCCTATGGCTACTGTTGAGTTTTCCAAATTTGCTGGCATATTGAGTGCTACACTTTAACAGCATCATCTTTTAGATTTTTAAATAGTTCAGTTAGAATACCATCAACTCCAGTAGTTTTGTTGTTGGTAATGCTTCCTAAGACTCACTTGACTTTGTACTCCAAGATGTCTGATTCAAGGTGAATGATCACACCATTGTGGTTATCAGGGGCATTAAGATCTTTCTTGTATAGTTATTCTGGTAATTCTTGCCACTTTCTCTTAATCTCTCTGCTTCTCTGCCCATCTTTGCACAAAACGTTCCTTTGATATCCCCAATTTTCTTTAAGGGATCTCTAGTCTTTCTCATTTTATTTCTTCCTCTATTTCTTTGCATTGTTCATTTAAGAAGGCTTTCTTTTTGTTCCTTGCTTTTTGCTTTCCTTCTTTTGTCAGCTATTTATAAAGCCTCATCAGACAGCCACTTCAATGTCTTGTATTTATTTTCCTTTGTGATGGTTTTAGTTGCTGTGTCTCGTATATTGTTACAAATCTCCATTCCTAGTTCTTCAGGCACTCTGTCTACCAGATCTAGTCCCTTAAATCTATTCATCACCACCATTGTTTATTCATAAGAGATATGCTTTATGTCATACCTGAATACCTTGTTGTTTTCCCTATTTTCTTCATTTTAAGCCTGAATTTTGCAATAAGAAGCTCATGATCCAAGCCACAGTCAGCTCCAGGTCTTGTTTTTATTGACTGTAAAGAGCTTCACCATATCTTTGGCTGCAAAGTACATAATCAGTCTGATTTCTGGCAATGTCCACGAGCAGAATCTGCTCTTCAGTTGTTGGAAAAGAGTATTTGCTATGACCGGCATGTTCTCTTGACTAAACTCTAACAAAATAAAATTTACTAGCCTTTGCCCTGTTTCACTTTGTGCTCCAAGGTCAAAATTGCCTGTTATTTCCATTACCTTTTGATAATGTACCTCCTACTTTAGCATTCCAATCTCCTATGATGAAAAGGGCATCTTTTTTTGGTATTAGTTCTGGAAAGTGTTGTAGGTCTTCACGGAACCAGTCAACCTCAATCTCTTCATCCATGGTTGGGAATAGACTTGGATTGTTGTGATGTTGAATAGTTTGCCTTGGATTCAAACCAAGATCATTTGTCATTTTTGAGCTTGTACCCCAGAAGTACTTTTCCCACTCATTTATTGAGGGCTACTCCACTTCTTCCAGGGGATTCTTACCCACAGTAGCAAATAATGATCATCAGAATTAAATTTGTCCATCCCATCCACTTTAGTTCACTGATTCCCAAGATGTCAATGACCAATCTTTCCCTCTTTTGTTTGATTCCATCCAGTTTATCTTGATTCATAGATCTTACATTCAAGGTTCCTATGCAATATTCTTTATAGTATCTGACTTTCTTTTCACCATCAGATACATTCACAACTAAGCATTTTTTCAGCTTTGGTTCAGCTGCTTCACTCTTTCTGGAGCTACTTGTAATCATCCTATACTTTTCCCCAATAGCATATTGGACATCGTCCAACCTGAGGGACTCATCTTCTGGCATCATATCTTTAACCTTCTGGTACTGTCCTTGGGGTTTTCCTGGCAAAGATGTTGGAATTGGGTTGTCATTTCCTTCTCCAATGGACCATAGTTTGTCAGACCTCTCTCTATGACCTATTCATCTTGGGTGGCCCTGCACAATACAACTCATAGCTTTATTGAGCTGCACAAGCTCCTTCAGGCAGTGAACCATGAAGGAGAATGATTAATTAAATTAAAATTTAATTAAAGTAAATTAAAACTAAATTAAACTAATAAAAATTAATGTTCTTGGAAATCCCAATAAATTTCTTTCATTACAAGAAGCTAAAACATTCTCCTTTATAGAAATATTGGTTTGGCATGTAGGTTTCTTTATTTCATATATATTCTTGGCAGTATTTATGTAAAGCATCTTTATATATCCTTTAAAAATCTGCCATTAAAATGAATTTGGATTTTGTTGCTTAGTTAAGAATGCAAGAGTACTTATGCTATGAACAAGGCCCATTATTCCAATATCCTCTTTTCTATTTGGCCAACTAGATGGCAAAGGATCTAAAAAGTATGAAGAAAGCAGCCCCCTGTGCAACTGTTGCCTAGCAATTATAGAATACTAGAGGTGGTTGCAGATGTAGTGGACAATGTGATAGTAGCCGCTATCCACTAATTACCATATCACCTATGCATTTGTATAATCTTTTTCTAAAATCATTTGTCGGTGGTTGTAATCATATTTCGTAAATGGATGACTCCAATTCATCATTGGTTGCCTTTTTCAGCTTTTTTCTACAGCTGCAGAATATCTTGGTGCTGCAGCCGGTTAGATACAGATATGTAATACCCATACAAAGGTTGATACATTATGTTCATTTGTCTTCTTTCTTATATCCACAAACAACAAGTACAGTTTCTACTATCCAGGAATGTTTTCCTGAGCAGGCAATCTTATATGTTCAGACTGGTGAGATACTTGAACCATATTTTTATTCATATATATTTATTTATAATATATATTGAACCATATTGAACCATATAAGGAGCCTCGGTGGCGCAGTGGTTAGAGTGCAGTACTGCAAGCTACTCCTACTGCAATTTGGCAGATCGAATCCCACCAGGCTCAAGGTTGACTCAGACTTCCATCCCTCCAAGGTGGGTAAAATGAGGACCCAAATTGTTGGGGGCAATATGCTGACTCTGTAAACCGCTTTGAGAGGGCTGTAAAGCACTATAAAGCAGTATATATAAGTCTAAGTGTTACTGCTATATTACAGTAGTTAAGCTGAAAAGGGCCTTTACAGGCTCAATTTAATGATCTTTTGCATTAAAGTCATTTTGGAACGCAGATACAAAAAATTTCCATATACTGCTTGACTATATCCATGTGATACAGATGCTATAGAACAGAGTTCCCCAACCTTTCCAGCTTTACGGACCAAGTGAGGGTGGGTATTCTGCACAAGTGGTGGGCAAGCACCCATTTGCACAGCTCCATTTGTGGGAGCGGCGGGCACACCTGCCGTTTGCACAAATGGAGCATGCACGTCCGTGCTCATCTGCTTGCACAAATGGGAATGCACAATGCCTATGCCTGTGTACTCAACAGCCACTTCCTCAGCCTGATTCTGAACTGCTCAAGGCATGGTAGTGGGTTGCGGCCTGGGGGTTAGGATGCCCTGCTGTAGGATCTATTGCCCACATTTTATTGCAGTGCTGTTTAGTGATATTAGATTTTATATCTGGTAAAATACTACGTCATTTTGATACTTTTTCATACAAGTTCTGCTTAGCTGCTGTGTATGACTAGGAAAAGCATAGTTTATTTCAAGAGCCAATGATACAGAGTATAGCACAAATACGCCAATGCTGAATCTGAAGAATTTTTCCCACGTCAGATCCAAATCCAATACTATATTTTATTGGCTAATTAAGGACTGAGCCTTTTCAGCCTGAACTTAAAATGATTTTATAGTACTAATAAAAAAAAAATGTAACTCAGGGTTGACATGAGGGGTCCTTGGTGTTCTCTGAGTTTGCTTGTTTTCTTACAGATATTTCATTATCCAAATTAGGTAACATCATCAGTGCTAGTGATGATGTTACCTAGTTTGGGTAATGAAATGTATGCAAGAAAACAAACAAGCTCAGAGAGCACCAAGGAACTCTCCTGATTTAATAGTCTTTTATTAGTCACTCGTTATGCAGCAATTTATCTTGTGTTTCGCAGGAATATGTACATTTTGAAATCACTTAGAACATAATTGTAAAAAAAACAGATATGCAACATTCAAAATTTCTTTCTGCTGTTTCATTTGTAGGTTTAGAGTCATCCATCTTTAATGGGTGACTTTTGATAACATTTACTATTCTTGTGATGCCATTTGGAAGGACAAATTCCCTTAAACATGTTTTTAGAGGCAATCTCTTTACTCAGTGTATCTTACAGCAATAGCACTTACATTTATAAACAGCTTCATAGTGCCTTACAGCCCTCGCTAAGCAGTTTACAGAGTCAGAATATTTCCCCAACAATCTGGGTCCTCATTTTACTGACCTTGGAAGGATGGAAGGCTGAGTCAACCTTGAGCCTAGTGAGATTTGAACTGCCAAATTGCAGGCACCGTGGCTCGTATGTCTTCAAGTAGAACATAATGTTGAGATGATACACTTTGAAGCTTGACAAATAGATTTAGTAGTCTTAGCTAATGCCTTTTATTAATGAAAAGGTCCTTTGGAGATTTTTGCCAGAAAATTACAACCAAAGGAGATCTAAGTAGAAAGGAATGAAAGAAAACAGAAAAGATAATACAAATCATATGGCAAATCAGGGAAACTTTTTTTGTTAAGAAAAATTAAATGAAAATAAGTATTACTGTTTGCTGCTAGTTATTGTAGAAATATAGTAATACTGTTTTCAAAAAGAAAACAGTATTTGAAACAAACAGCTGTCTTTTTATACCAGCTGATGTTTCCAAGCAGTTCTGTTACACAACTCAGTGAATTATTTTAGAGCAGTGATGGCTAACCTTTTCAGTACCAAATGCCCAAAGTGTGCGCACACACACGAACCCTCCGCATGCCCATGCATGTGACCTCCTGCACTCTGTGCATACAGTCACAACCCCCACATGTGCACCCCACCCATGTGCGTGCGACCTCTGTGTGTGCCCCCCCCCCCATGTATGCACTGCAGGGACCCAAGGACCAGCTAGGCGCTGGGAGGCACATACGCACAGCTGAACTGGGGCAATGGCTCACATGCCCACAGAGAGGACTCTTCATGCCACCTCTGGCACACATGCCATAGGTTTGCCATCACAGTGTTAAGATGAATTCAGTCTGAAGACACATAAAGCTGTAATTCAGTAAGGATATTATAAACACCTAGTTCAAAGTAGTAATGCATTGTCCAAATGCATTTTTATTTCATTATTAAATTTGTATGCTGCCCAGTTTCCAAAAGCTCTCGATACCTGTATTGGGCATGATGTTGAATCAGGGGAATGAGGCTTATATGAAGAGAGGTTTGAAAGCTGGTTGATTGATTCTTACCAGCAACTTAGACAAGAAAAAAATTGAATTCAGAATTTTGAGGTCCACTGTGATTTAATTTGACCAGTTAAAATGTTCCTGTTTGGCACAACGAAAGTCATGATTGCAGAGAATTCATGATGTTGAAGAAGTGTATAAATATATTTCTGCTTATCAGAATTCTAGATTCAACAAATTATATGTGTCTTGAAAGAGAGATTCAAGAGATCACTTTCTGTGCACTGGATATCAACTTGAGCGTCCATTGTTAGTAACAAAACCTGTCGTCACTGCAGAAGAAATATTCCAAATATTGATTATGGACTGTATTTAGAAGGGGGATTTGAAGAAAGGTTCTGTTATAAACTCTCTTTAGAATCTATGAGTTGTTTTCCTTTCTGTTATCCTTGTCATCTCTATTCTTCATTTTTGTCTCTTGTTGTATATCTTGTCTTTTAATGTTTTAAACTATTTGTAAACTGCCCAGAATCACTGGCAGCTAGGTGCCATATATATTCAATATATCGTCATCCACTATTACTATTACTTTTTTAAAAAACAAAATTTTATTAAGTAAATTATTTAAAACATTGGACCTGGCGTGATCGTTCCGACCATCTTGTTTGTCATCCATATTATGGCATAGAATACATATTTTATATACATATCTATATATCTGTACATTTATGCAGTGGTTTCCAATTCTAGTCATCCACTCTGCCAACCCTATTCTCTTTTAATTCTAGATCTTCTTTTTTTCCCACCATTGATAAAATTTATCCCATACTTTTTAGTATTCTATCTCTTCTTTATCTTTCATCTCTAAAGTTAGTTTATTCATCTCAGTGCATGTCCATATCTTTTTTATTACATCATTTTCATCAGGAATTTCTTTGGCTTTCCACTTTTGAGCAAAAGTTAATCTTGCTGCCATAATCACATGTATCATTAAATAGATCTCTTCTTTATTGTATTTTTATGTTTGTATTCCACTTTATACCCTGCCATTATTATTATTACTATTGACATTACATTGATTTTGTGCACTGTTTGTTCGTTTGGTAATATGCTATTAACAATCAAATATTTCTGCTTTGTAATACAACTACAGTTAAGAGAAATCAAACAATTGTATTTTTTCTAGGTTGCAATAAAAATAATTGACAAAACTCAATTGAATCCAACTAGTCTACAAAAGGTAAGTTTTTTAGATATTCCATCTTTTATGTATACTATTTTGTTTAGAATATTCTTTTCTGGCACTTCTGTCTTCCATTTTTAAACATTGTATTATTTTAAGAATAATGTATTCAATATGATTTCATTTTAATCATACTCCATTCTCTTCTAATGGATAGAATGGAAGGAATATAATCTAATAAAATTAGTCTTGATCTGAGCTCAGAATTTTTGTCAAAAATGTGAAATAAGTACTATACCTACATTCTCATACCCAAATCTGTAGTATAAACCAAATTGTGCCTGCCATTTTAATTAATGGATAAAAATGATAAAAACAACATCTTCACATATCATTTTCTCAGGCTGGAACTATATGTATTGAAATTAGAGATCTAGATTACAAATCGGCTGGGAATCTGATCAGTGGAGGAGGTATAAGCCATGCTTGTAACTTCCCATCACCCAAAATGTTTCCTTGAGTTATGTAACAAATTTGTATCAGGAAAATCCTCTGTAGAAAAGCAACTGAAGGAGGGAGAGATGTAGAAGGAAGTATAGGAAAGGTTAAGCAGTCTGTCTTGCCCATTGTCACTTACTCAAGCAGTGAGGTGGATTTTGTGTTGAATGTATATTTCCAAGCTATGAATGATGCTATTATTTATTCAGTAAATTTTATAGATGTTTGATGATTGTTGGAATGCTAATTTCTTGTGATTTTTTTAAAAAAACTCTGTTCTATTCACAACGAAACGATACTTTGATAGCATTATCTCTGAGGCAGGGGTTGATTTAAAATAAAACAATTTAATTGTTCTGCTCCTTTCTCTACTAAGAGCAGAACATAGCAAAGCAAACGTTTGGAGTGTCAACTTGGAACTTTGGTTACTTTAAAAGCAAAAAAAGAAAACCATTGTGTAGATAATGCATTTCTTAGGAATCAGTCTTTGCTTTTGGAATCTTTCCAGCTGAAAATCCCAGCTGTCAAATGAATATTGTTTACTTTATTAACATCTTGATGAAAATATCTTACTTTGAGTTGAAAATAATTTAGCAAGCAGTTCAGTTTCCCAGGCTATATTGTGTATTCAGTTTAGAACAATCCAGTTACATATTTAAATAGAATCTTATATTTTATAGGAAATAATAAAAAGGCATTCTTTTCTTTTAAAATACCTAAATGTCCAAAACAGTTCAAGTGCTTTCACAGAAACAAGCAAATATAAATGCAATTTTAAAAACCTTCTGTTGTCATGTTCCTTATTAAATATAAGAAATCAAGTTATGTAAAGGGGAAGAACATAAGTATTGTTGAATTATTATGAACCTTTAATTAATGGTAGTCATTCCGGTGATTAAAAATGTCTCCCAGTGAATGGAGAGGTGATTTTTAGAAACCTTCTAATTCTTGCAGCGCAGTGCATATTGCGGACATGTATAACATGTTTAATGGGTTGCAGGGAAAAAAATGGCTAAGAATATTATACATCCTTGTTTAGTTGAGGGAATTTTTCAACATTTGAATATTTCTGTAAGTTATTGTCGATAGACAGATTTACCATTGTGGTGGCTAAGAGTACCAATATATTCAGGGAACTTCCTTTGCCTCATCAGGCTCCTTGTCTCATTGATTCTGAATTTCTGCATTAAAATATGAGAAGTTGGAGAGGAACTTTTGGAGAAGAACCTTGATCCCAAATGAACATGTACACATAAGTGAGGAAGAAACTCCCAAAATCAAGAAAAGTCACCTTATTAGAGTCCCAAAGTTTCCATTTTTGAAAGCAGCATGCAAAAGAGATGTCAGGGAGATCTGAGGTCAAAGAGCCACAGAAGATTTGTCAGACAGTCTGCAATCTAAAGTCGGAGTCGTGGGATTCAAAATATTTTAGGAACATGGAGGATGAATTATTGAACAATTGTCCCAAGGTTTGCTTCCTAGCTACTATATCTACTTTAAGTAGAGACAGTCATTGTTGCTCATTACAGCAAGGTATGGGCCCTGTCTTGCAAGGAGCCTTGCAGAGTGCCTTTGCTTCACTGTCTTCTCCATGTGGTGAACCCTCATCCTGAATGGAGGCAACAGCTCAGAACATTCATCTGAAACCAATAGCAGGCAATCCTGTTCATTACCAGCTAGTTCACTTCAACTTCCTGCAAGTCCTCAGATAGGAATTCATCTGGTAACTCTGGAACAGGGTTAGGATATTGATTTAGAACTGGACAGATTCCAGTCTCCCATCAAACTCTAAAATTATTTTAGAACGTTTTAGCTTTGGCACTTGAAGAATTAAATGTATGAAATTTTGTTTATAATTTTTCCCCATTTTATTACTTTTATAAATAAGTCAAGGCAGCGAACATATCTAATATTCTCCTCCTCCTCCTATTCCTCACAACAGCAAGCCTGTGAGGTGAGTTGGGCTAAGAGAATGACTGGTCCAAAGTCACCCAGTCAACTTTCATGCCTTAGGTGGGACTAGAACTCACAGCCTCCTGGTTCCTAGCCTAGTGCCTTCAGTGTTCAGTTTAAGAAAACGTGAAGGAAGATTGAACATTCTTCTGAAATCTCTTTAGTGTTAAAACTTGGTCTTCAAAGTATGCTTGCTTGTATATGGAGAGAGGAAAAGCTTTTATTATTATTTTTTCTGGTATACTTGTTATTTTCCAGACTCTTCAAATATGTTTACAGTTGTAACACTCTTACATCTGCATATTCTCACGGTTGCTAGCTATGTAATATTAACTTTTTAATTTTCTTTTCTAGCTGTTTAGAGAAGTAAGGATAATGAAGATTTTAAATCACCCTAACATAGGTAGAGTATGATTTAAATGTTCTCTTTTTGCATAGATCTGTTTATCCATTCAGATATGTATTTTTAAAATATATGTATAAGTATGTGCATTTAATGTCTTCATAATCCATTTGATTTTTAAGCACATCAGTCATCTCCTAATGCACTCAATATCTTCCTATATTTCCACAGTTTCACTGAACTATACTTAAATTTAAAAGTCTAAAGTCTTAGTATGCAGCTTAATCATATAGTTATCTCCTGTAAATGAAACCTGAGCATGCCTCTCCCTTAATTATTTGCTGCAAGGCAGAATTAATGTGTTCATCATAATATCACCAATCAGTGGTTATTTGTGAGCAGATATCACAAATAATATTGGCTCATCATAACTTAAGTAGTTGCAGCATTCTGCAAGGGAAGGCAGTTTTCAAAGTCAGAAGCCTTCTGGATGTAAATGAATACTTTATCTTGCCTGCAGTTTGTTCCCTTTCAGAGGAAGCAATTGTATATATATCCATTACAGCTGATAATCCAATTTTTTTCTGGAGCATATTAAAGAATATTAATTGTTGAGATATGAGAATGAGTGGATTAGATAAATCTTGAAAAGCTTTTCAATTGAAAAGTCTGCTTTCTGTGTTTCATTCTGCCCTCAGACAAAGGCTTTGTCTTTTGTACAGCTGTCTCATTATCCTGTGCACTATTCTTTATAAGTGTTCAGACATGTTCCATTACATCAATTCTTTCTGGAAAGGCTTGAGCTGCTCTGAGCAAACACTCAGCTATGCTTCTGTTTTCTCCGCCTCCAATAAGCCCTCATTCACCTGGGTAACATATGTTGAGCAACTTCAGGCTAACAGGAGAGAGCACAGGAAAAAGGAGTGGGAACAAAGAGGGGAATAGTATAGAACATTGGGCAGGGAGAAAGAAAAGGATTAGAAGCATTGCTAGAGAAAAGGATTATGAAAGAAATACGGAGGGGATTTAGGGGAAATATGAATGGATGGCAAGAAAATAGGCTTCCAGATCTGGACAGAAGAAAATTATGTAGATGGCCATTGAATTTCAGTAAAAGGGGTGTCAGGATTCCGTCAGTTGCCTGTTGTCTATGCCTGTTTTAGAGTTGCCAAGGGGTTATTTTTAAGCAGCTCAGATCTAATAACCTTAATGAATAGAATGGTGCCTCCCAAAGAGACTTTGTCTTTGGTCTCACCTACTGTTGAGGTATAACTTCTGGTAGTGCAGTGGTTAGAATGCAGTATTGCAGGCTAACTCTGCCCACTGCCAGGAATTCGATCCTGACTGGCTGAGGGGTGACTCCGCCTTCCATCTTTCTGAGGTTGGTAAAATGAGGAGCCAGATTGCAATATGCTGACTCTGTAAACTGCCTAGAGAGTGCTGTAAAGCACTATGGGGCAGTATGTAAGTCTAAGTGCTATTGCTATCCATAAAATAATTTGTCTCATTGTAAAAAATTTCCTCAGCTTCAGGGTAACTCATCATTTGTCCTTAAAATATTTGGATCTTCTGCAGCATTCAGCAGAGGGTTGCACATTCTAAATTTATAACCCAAGTACATATTTATTTTCAAATGAGATTGAATTATATCAGCTTAATTGGCATTTAAAAGTAAACACAAGTATTGAAATTAGTTAATTTTAACAATGTATTTTTGTAGAGTTAGTATTTTGTAGTTTGGATATTGAAGATATTGAAGCAGTAACTAGTTTGCAGCTGCTAAAAGACTATTATTTTTGGATTAAATTCTGAAGATCAATCAACACTGATTATTTATATCTAAGGATTTTTTATTGTTATGTAATGGGAAGAAAAAAATAATGCTTTTCTCTTTTTTACCTTTTAAATTAACATCTTTTTTCTCAAAATGTGTAACTACAACACTATTTTTGGCATTGTCACGATAAAAAACGTTTAGTTAAAAACACATTAACTAATAACTGTTTATATGATTCTAATTTGAGAAAAACTAAGAATTAGGTTATATATCTTTTGGGATGTCATCTGAGTATTTGATTCAGCTGTGAATATTGATTTGAATAATTATTTGAGAGGAATCATTTTGAATCTTGTGTGTCTAGCATAATTCATTAGTAATGTTAAGTTCTCAATTATAATTATCTTCTTTTTATGTAGGAAGACTTGATCTTTGATAAGAGTTATAAGTTTACCAAAAATTGAATAAATATTGTAATCTTAGCCTTTCTCTATGTAATATAGAGATAAGATTATAATTATGGAAAAATGATTTATTAATACAGAAGTCTGCCTTAATTTCTGTAAATTTCTTCCAGTAACTATATGTGCACCTCTATTCAAATTAATCTAAAAATATCTTATCACTTCACTATCTAAACATAAATAATATACTAGCATGAATAATTAAATGATATTATGTACATATACAGTATTAGGCAATTGAGTAATAATGTTTCTTCTTGGTTTACTTCAAAGGCCATTTTTATTTCTTTCGAATGATAGTAATATGCTTTTGAAGAAGAAGCCTCATGCAGTAGCATCTAAATAAGGGCAGCTCCATGTAGTGTAATAATATAAATCGGAGATCAGTAAGGCGTTAGTAATTTTAAGAGCCTTTGTCCAGGAATGGCTGTAATTGGTGCACAAAATGTAACAGTACAAAAGTCTTTGCCACACCTGCTGCTTGGTGATCATTTATTGAGCCCAGTAAGACCCTCAGATTACAGTATGAAGCACCTCTGAATGTAGGCGTACAATTCCCATATCATATGTATCAATCAACACTTTACTTTTTCCTAATAAAACTTTTTGCTCTAATACAGTCAAGTAAATAGAACAACATTTTTTCTTGAGGAAAATGAGTAATAATGGTAAAGGTCAATTGTCAGATTTTAAAATAAAATTGATAATATTAATGAATTTGTATGCTATCTTGAGATGTTAGAAGCAAGTCTTATGATTCGATTTTGATTTCAAGTGAGCGTTGTGATATATACAATGGAAAGCTAGGTTATAATTATTCCTGTATGATTGTTAACAGGTAAATATCTTGTTATTATTTCATTTCTATTACTTTAGCTTATTTGAATAAATTTAGCTGTCTTATATATAGACTGTAATAAATGTTACATATCTAGTGTATTATATCTCCTGAATGTGACTGTGAAATAACAGGATGGGCTCACTTAAATGTTTCTGCATTAGCCTTTGATTTGTTCTCCTGGGGGGGGAAGGTTGGCTTCCTAAAATATGATCAATTGGTGCTTCCTGAAACTACTTAGAGGTTGGATCTTTAAGTGGTTTCGGTACTGCAATTTTGGTCTGCATCCCCTAATGAAATGCAGGTTTTTTTCAGCTGATGTTTAGCAAGGCTTTTGACATTTTTCTGTGAATACTTGTAAATTGCCTCTAAACTGCTTTTGAGATTCCCCTGTGATTTTAATTATAGAATATGCAGTTCAGCTTAAGGAGAGGCTATGACTCAGTAAAAACAACATACTATGTAGATTCATTCCTTAGTATTTCTAGCCAAAGGACATTAAATAGAATGCTATTGGGATAGCATTTAAATAGAATGCTATTGGGATAGCATTTTGCAAAAGGCACCAGGTTTCTCATGTGTTTAGCAATGCCTTGCTGTTCTTGTATTCCAGGGAAAAATTGATTAAAATATGTATTTTGTATTTGATATCATTTACCAGGATATCAGATAGGAGAATGAAATATACTAATATTGTACAAGTAGATACATATATTTGATATTACATCTCTAAATTAATTCTTTCTCTTTCTTTTTTTTTTGGTGGTTGTTACTGTTCCAGTTAAATTATTTGAAGTAATTGAGACTGAAAAAACACTCTACTTAATCATGGAATATGCAAGTGGAGGTAAGTTCAAACACTTGCAAGCAAAACACTTACCTGTCTATTTATATAACATTTTATTTTGAACAAGATATTTAAGAATCACCACTTTCCTTTCATTGTAAATATCAGAATATTTAATTAATATTTAATTAATTTTAGCGATTACTTTTCCCTTGTTATTATTCAAGGACTCTCAAGTTATCTAGAATAGGAATCCAGAACTTTAGATGTTTGTGCTTTCAATAAAACACTAGTATTTCTTAATTTATTTGCTCTATTTAAATAATTGTATTTTTGTTGTTTTTAATAAACTCCCTTTCCATCCAGTTGGAAAAATAAAAAATGTAATTCTTGAAATGTGTATTTTTCCCTCTATTCTTTTTTATATCCTTGGTGCTTTATATATTTCCCAAATAACATGTTAATTTGCAAATAAACAGTTTTTACACTGGTTTGTCCTTTGCACACTGAATAGTATATAACTTGCAACTTCCTTTTTTATCTGTACATGATAAAACATTTTATATGCAGACTGTTATGATTAGCTATCAAAATAATGTTTGGGGTTAAGCCTAAGAATTGTCCGCAAACAAGATAATTTTATCTTCATTACTTCCTCTTTACTTTGCATTTTGGAAAACACAATGAAATCTCAGTCTATAAGAGTTATTTGGCAGATAAATACTCATATTGTAAGAAATGGTTGGACAGATTTTTTTATTTACATAGAATAGCTTCCTTCTATTCAGTGATAAAGAACACTGGGATGGAACACAGATTAGATTAACTAGTGATTAAAGATTAACTGTGGGAACAGTTTATATTCATATTTAATAGATTATAAAAGAATTTTAAAATGTTTTTCAAAGCATCAGAACTTAAATTTTAACAATAATTTGATATCTCCTCAGGAATCAGTGCTTACAGTTGTTTCTTATTATTTTAGAAATAGCTTCCCCAAATCCTCAGTTACTTCTTAAATAATTTTGTGTTTGTACATTTCATATTTAATTTTATTTACTTTAATTATTCTAAAAATTATAAATGAATTATATTTGGTCAGGATGCCTTTCATATTGGGCTAATCCCTTGTGGTTTTCAAATCACATTTAATCGCTTGTGGTTGATTAGGAGATTGATTAGTTTAGTTGTTACTTCAATATTTTCCCCTATCTTGGCTTAGTCACACTTTTGATTTTTAATTTAATTCTTATTAATATTTTAGACAGTCCCCAATATTTGATGTTATATTGTCTTCTGAAAATGAGGTGCTTGATTGTGCTGATGTTTTCATGCAGTTTGTCTTGCAGATAGGAAAAATCATTTCAGTGGTAGCTACAAGCTGAAAATTATCCCATGTCTTCCTTTTTCAAACAAAAACATACATACATACATACAAATTATTTCCTCTGCATAAAATCTTACTACCATCTAAATAATGCAAAAGTAAAGCTTTTCTAGACCATTGGTTGGCTAAATCCCAACAGTCAACCTGGAACTGTGATTATCTACCAATTCCATTGATTTTCTGTTGTTTCTGGGTTCAGTATAAAGTACAGTTAATGTTTTTTAAAGCACTTAATGGTCTTGGGCTAGTTTATCCAAGATCAATTTCAGTCCATTAACCTGCACAGTATAGAAAATAATTTCAGAAGCTTACTAGAGATAAGATGGACAGGTACATGAAGGCACTTATTTTATTTATGCTGTCAAAACTGAGGAATATTTTTTATGCCTGGAAAATCTATAGCCTTTCCCATTACTACTGATTATTATTGTTTTTTGTGGTATTATTGTTGTTTAAAACCTTTGACCACTCAAAGCAGCTAATAGATTTGTCATTCTCCAAGCCCTCCCCTTTCTATCTAGCCTTTGACTTCAGGAGTTTCCTCTCCTGCCAATCTTCCTATCTGGATAGATGGTAACTCAGAATTCTGTTTACCTGCATTCAGTATTTAACATATTCATTTAAATGGGGTAGGGATGTTCTACTACATGTACAATTTTAAAATTGGAGTTGGTGAGGAGAGTCTGGGACTCAGTGGAGTATAAAAGCAGGCCTACGGAACAGGATTGGGAGGGAAATGGGCAGGAGGCTACTACAGATCTCTGCTGTCAATCATAAGGGAAAATACACCCAAATTTTGTTCATGTGACTGCAGGGGTGCTGCAGTGGCTATAACTTTGAAACCAGGTGATGGGTAGCTTTTCAGGAGTCCATTATAACTTTGAACTTAACAACCAGTCATAATTTGTGAACTACCTACAAACAGAACCTAGACACTTCCAGAGGAGAACATGTTTAGTTGGCTTAAATCAGGTCAGTCCATCCTCTAGTATTTATTCACAAGCTTCCAAATTGGAACTAGTATGGATTTTTTTCCTGTGAGACCTAAATAATTTGGTAGTTAAACCACCATTTTCTAGACCCTGAAAATACGGGGTCGTGAAGAGCTTTCCCATATTTTCCAAGATGAGGGATTGTTGTTTTGGTGTAGGTTTTTCTTGCAAACTCCCAAGTGTGAGAAACAATCATAAGGGTCTTTCTTGATGCAACACTCTCAAGTGCAGAAGCATGGTAACCATAGTCTCTGCTTCCCTAACCGCAGAAGTAATTTCTGACATATACATTATGGAGGACTTTTAAAGGAATGCAATGTATCTTATCCTGAAATTCTTTCCAATTCTCTAAAATTATGTGGGCTATATTTGTTATAGGATGGGAAAGCAGCTCACATAATTTCCCCAAAGCCGTCTGTGGATCATTGTGTGCAAAAGTTCAGGAGAATTGGAGGCTCTAAGTATGGGGCTACAGATGATGGAAAATTGCTAATAACTGGGGAGAGGAATCTGTGGTAGTTTAAGAAAATTCAATTTGATTCAGGCAATTTCCTCCTTATTATATTCATGTATTTACTTTTCATTCTAATGCAAGATACAAGTCATTATAAACATCTTCAGTTTCCCACCGTTAATGATCTGACTTTCTGTGATATTGCTGCAACAATAATTTTAACCTTATTTACTATGCAAACATTTCAATATTTGAACTGTCCCATAGACTACAGCATTGGGGGGTGGGGGGTGGGGTGGAGAAACATGATCATGGCTTATTGAATCATATTCAAAATTAAAACTAAATCATATGGTATAAAGAATAATAGTTTTTTTCTTCTTTGTGCTACTAAAAGTTAATTACCTAATGCCATTTATTGCAGGAGATTGAGGACAGGCAAAATTATCTCTTTCATGCAATATGCAGTTGAATTATTGAATTTACTAATCTAAATGAATCACCATTTTGGATCAACATTAGATATAGTATTATTTATTATTGCTGTCATGATTATCTTGCTTCACCAAGATTAGAAAAAGCACATTTTGGAATATCAATTCCAACATAAGTGAGAAAAAAATCTTTCTGCCCTGTTCCTGCTGTCATTTCTTGTAGATAATTTGGTTTACCTAATGCAATTATATGCCATTTATCCTCCACAGAGTTTCAAAATGTTCACAGTAGTTGAAAATTAATTTTAATGTAAAGTGATAAAAAGTAAAGCATTAAAAATAAAACCAAAAACTAATAGAACTATAACAATTCTGAAGATCTTTAATAAAATATATAACATAACATCTATAAGATTACACATGAATGTTCTGTTTGTGATCTGTTTTTCTTTTGTATGCCTTAATTACAGGGGAGGTATTTGATTATCTAGTTGCACATGGAAGAATGAAGGAAAAAGAGGCAAGAGCTAAATTTAGACAGGTATGAAAATATTTTGATGTAAAATATTTTTCCTGTTAGTGATTGATCCTTCGCATATAGATAGATGTGTTTGTTCATGGTGGAAAATACTGATAAAATTGACTTCAATAATGTGACTGCAACCCACCAATGTTGATGCTATAGTTATATGATACAGCATTAAGAGAAGGTAACTTCTACATAATTTTGTGTTTCTACAAGGAGTTAATAAATAATAATCTTAATAGAAGAATCCAATCAGAGCAGGAATAGACTGTTTAGGCCATTAAATCTAATCTCAATCCTATGAAGGAACCTAAAGGCATTGACAACTAATGTTTGTCTCTCTTCTGCTTTAGTATGCCAGATCAAGGAATGTTTCCTTGATATTGAATTAGAGTGTGCTTTTTAAAAATCTTAAATTGATTTTTATACCCTGTAGGATGAGAACAGGTCTTGGTATCTTCTGTTTGACACTTTTTTCAGATATTTTAAAAATGCTGTCATAATTCCCTCTTGTTTTCAGGCTAAATAACTCCATTCTTTCAGTATTTCTTCATAGGACTCAATTTCTAACTCCCTCATAATTCATTTTGCTGTTCTCAGAACCTGTTCCTGTTTGTCTAATTCTTTTTTGAAGTATGCCCACAACTGGGCACAAGCTTTGAGAGGTGGTGTGATTAGCCTAGAAGGAAGTATTGTGATTTCAATATATTTTTATTGCGGTTTTAAATTTCATTTGATGTTTATCCAATAATCATATTGTTGGCTCATTCTCAGTTTGCAACCAACTTGTTTTTGAAGTGCTGTTAACCATACCAGATATTCCTCATCCTACACTTGTTCACTGATTTGTTTTTCCTAAGTGAAGAATTTTACTTTTGTCTCTCTTTATATTTCAATCTGTTAAATTTTAGCTCATTTTGTAAGTTGTGAAAATGGTTTGTGAATGGGATATTAATATTCCATTGACTGTGTCACCTGCAGATTTGATAAGCATTTTGTTCACTTGCTCACTAAAATCATGAATAAAAATACTAAAAGAGTAGAGAATCCAAAACAGTCCCTTTGTGGCATTCCACATGATTTCTGTCTCCAGTTTGATGAGCACTACCTCTACACCTCTGCCTTCAGAAGTTATCCACAAATATGACCAACTTCACTTCCACATTCTAGAGTCTTTCACTTTTTAAAGCAACATTTGTTCTCTACATTCATCTGATACTTCACTACCAGACCAGGATTTTTCCAGAAGAATTCATAGAGTTTCAACTGGATTATCAATGTTTCCTTGCTTTGCATCTGGCTCTAGAGAGTTCAAGTTATTCATTTTATACTTCTTCAGTCCCATGCTTTTTACTTGCCCCTTCATTCTGCTGTTTGTAATTGCCAAGAGGAACACATCCCATCTTACTGAGGAAGATTGAGCAGAAGCTAGAATTGAGTAATTTATGTTTTCCTTCACTTTTTTTTGTCTGCTAGTATTTTACAGTCTTGATCAAGCAGATGATATTCTAATTTATTTCTCTTTATTTTGAATATTTCTGAATGTTTTCTTGTTAATTGTTCTTATTATTCTTTGTCAATCTCTGCTCAATGTCATACCAACTTTATGGACTGCCTCTGTGCACTCTTCCTTGATGGTACATTACTCTTTCCTCTACCTATATGTGTCTTTCATATGTGCTGTTTTAATTTGCAAGTCTTCACTGAGCATTTTGTTGTCATGTAGGCTTCTGGTGCAATCATACACATTTTTTTTCCTCCTTAGAATTGGTTGTATTAGGTTTTTTTGTTATAAATCTTAGTTTATGTTATTGAAACAGTTTTTTTGAACTCTACAATGAATTACTTTTGTATAATTATGTTATCACCATTACAATCTGCAAAATAACTTTCTTAGCACCCAGATTCCTAGCTTCACTTCATTTTTAAAAATAGATTTTTATTTTTGAATATGGAGACTAACATGCTACAGAATAAAGGACTCACGTTCATTAATTTTATTTCAAGAATACTTATGGGCACATTTGGGACCCTTTGGAATTACTTAGAACATTTTTTTTAATTCCATTGGGTTGCTAGTGAAAAATTTACAATAGCCAATGTAAATAATAGACTTGCCTTCAGTCTTGTAGTAAATACTATTATTTGAATAATTCTTACTAATTTTGATAAATATATTTTGACCTGCACCCTTTAGCATTCATAATATGTCTTGTATTGCCTTTGTAACTTTTCTTAATTTTAAGCATAGTTGCTAGAATATATGACTGCAAAATCTCATTCTATAAACAATACTTTTATCATTGAACCTGTTTTCTATCCAGATAGTATCTGCAGTGCAGTATTGCCACCAAAAGCATATTGTTCACAGAGATCTCAAGGTAAGAGAACTATAAAGAATTTTATGGGACAATAAGTTGCATTTTAGTGCATATTTTTTTACTGTTACATTTTTGTTTTAGTCTGAAAAAATAATGGATTACATTCTGTGACAAAGATGGACTATTGCTTGGCATGTTAATAGGGCAAATATTTGGCTGGCATTTTAATAAAGTTGAACATGTTTTAGGGGAACAGATAGAAATAAGTATGTTTTTATACTAAATAAGGCTCTGTTGCACAAGTACAAGATGATTGTAAAGGCAAAAGTAGAAGCAACACATATAACTTCTCACTTTAAGCTTTACATAGCTTCGCACTGTCTATGTTTCTTATTCCATCACTCCTTGTCTCTAGGAAAAGTTGTTCATACTCAGTGCGATATGGTCTATTTCCAGAACATAACAGCAGCAACAGCAGCATAAAGTATGCTTGCGCATACTTTAATATCCTCATAATTCCATCTTTGTTTGGGCTTTCGGCATCTTTGTTTAATTTCCCTTATTTCTTCAATTCTTCATGTGCTGTTCCAAGATTTTAAACCTGTTTCCTGGCTTTCCTTTCCTTTCCTTTAATGTCCACCTTTAAAACTCTTGTTTAACTGTTTCATTTTAATTTCTCACTGCCAAAAGCATATGGTATAAAGAATAATAGTTTTAACCCTTAACTTTCCTTTTTTCCTCAATTCTAAACAATATTAATTCTGAAAATTCATTATGAAACTTCAGCTTTTGAAAAAATCTGCTGTTTTTGCTATCTTTTCATAAAGATTTATAACATATAGTTATAAATCAGTAACAGTAGTAGTAGTAACATATAATTGGGTATATTTTACATTCCTTATTTGTTTCAGTTGCCAGATAATGTTCAGCTGTTTATCTATTAAATCTTTAACCATTATGCCAATTCCATAAACTGCATCTTGAAGGCCAGCAAATAGAGGAAGCTGTTTATTTGGGGGGGCAAGAACACCCCCACCCCCACACCTCCCACCCCTGCACAAGTCTGATCACATTATTTTTCCCCTCTAGGCTGAAAATCTATTACTTGATGCAGACATGAACATTAAAATAGCCGATTTTGGTTTTAGTAATGAGTTTACAGTTGGTAATAAACTGGACACCTTTTGTGGCAGCCCTCCATATGCTGCTCCAGAACTCTTCCAAGGCAAGAAATACGATGGACCTGAAGTAGACGTTTGGAGCTTAGGTGTCATTCTTTATACTCTTGTGAGTGGATCTCTGCCTTTTGATGGGCAGAATCTAAAGGTATGTATCTAATTTATATCTAAAAGATGAGGGAGGGGAGATCCTTCTTATGTCATTTCTCAGCTGTATCAGCATATTGACTGTTTTTTGAAATTTTCTGATCACTATTGATTTAAGGAACTCAGAGAGAGAGTGTTAAGAGGAAAATACAGGATTCCTTTCTACATGTCAACAGATTGTGAAAACCTGCTAAAACGTTTCCTGGTGCTAAACCCAACTAAAAGAGGCACTCTTGAGGTAATAGCATACTCCGTAAACTTATTATAACACATTTAGTACACTTACTAACTTTTACATTCATTTTTGCATAGATTATATTCCTTGCTAACGTTTCATCTGCTGGATCTCCCAAGTTGTTTTCCAATTGCAGAAAGAGAAAACATACTTAGGTATATTAAAATGCATGCAGCATATTTTATACCAGATATAATTAATCTACCTCCCATGCCTCTCCATTACATGAGAAACTCAAATCTTGTTGCTGCCTTATTTGGATATTGTACTAAGAAAATCAGGGCACCATGCAGTTAACTGAAATCATTGTACTGTCAGTAGTGAAATTGTCCTTGATATTTTTAAAGTTTCTGTATTTTAAACAGGTTTTTGAATGTTAAAGAATTTTCTGAATTTTAACGAGGTTGTGTTCCACCTGAAATTTGTTAGTCTGAATCTAACTGAATGATTTTATAACAATAATTTATATACCAATGTTGTCCCTTCTCCCTTAGAAAGCACTTTAAAACAAACATCAAAGTGATTTATGAACATGTTTATAGAATCAAAGAAGAGATCTATTTGTTTCAGTGGTAGCCAGCTGTCTGTCTCTGAGAAGCCCACAAGCAAGACACAAATCACTTTGATGTTTGTTTTAACCAATTTTCCCTTGGTTTCTCAACAGCTAGTTCTGATACACTACAAATAATATATAAACCATCTTGATGAGTATGTTTGTTAGCCTTATCCTTGGTCTAATGAACCTGGGTTGCAGAAATTGAAAATATCCACTCCATTAGTGAATCCATGTGGTTCTCCAAATTTTTGCAGCCCAAATACTATTTTTCATGTTAGTTATATTATGTGAAAGGAATCTTAAGTACCAATCAAGTGGTATACTGGTAATGGTTAAACAACCGGCTCTGCTAGTTTCATTGCTGCCATTGCTATACTGAACAGCTGATCTGCATGCTTGACATAGTAGCTTAGCTCTGCTCTCAGTCAGCTAACAAAATTCCAGAAAATTTAACAATCGGCTCTTGTGAGCTGGAACAATCTGGCTCCACCACACCACTATACCATACTATCTAAGAAATGAGGAGAAAAATATAGCAAGCTAATTTCCTCCACAAACTATCATATTGGTAAGCTGTTGGTAAAAACAATGTCTGGTAAAATGTACACTTGGTAACAGCCTTTACTGTTTCAGAGCAATGGGAAAAGGGCATTCATTACATGATACAGTGAATGAGCAGATATTTTGAGATGCCTTGTGAGAGAAATGTACCTATTCTTTTGTACAAATTCACCATTATGTAAATGGAAAAAAGATGAAAAGTTACCAATAAAAATATTTAAGGCAAGGACTATAGCATATCTGAAATTATAGTGATTCCCTTTGATTGAAACCAATCTTTTAATTCTCTACTATATAATGATAGAGGGTTATTGGTACACCTCTCCTTCTTTCTTTTTTATTGTGAACACAAACATTATAGTCACTAAGACTTGTCTGTTTTAGCAGCAAGCATCTATCCCATCTTATTCCTAGGAAGAAGTCAAAGATTGCTTAGATAACCATATTTTCCCCTATTTCCTTTGAGGGGACCACTTCTTTCTCTCTTTGGATCAATGTAAGCCTATATACCAGAAACATTCCATACTGTCCTTCCTTCCTCAGTAAGTGTCCTACAGAAGGTGATTCAGTAGTTATATTCATAAGGGAGATGTGGTAGATTGTAACAGAAAGGCTAGGTCACATGATAATTTCAATATAGCCTGAACTAGTTCTTAATATGGACTTTCTTTAGCTGTCATTCTGGCTTTCTATTGCTGGAATTTAAAATTTACATCTGGTGCATTGCATGCAGAATAAGAAAGAAAGATTTGGGAGAAATAATTTTGCCACATGTTAAAATATGTACTATTTATTTTGCTGTATATAGGATGATGGCAGTGTTAATACTGGAAAGAAAGGAAAGTGCCAGTGCTTACTTGCCTTCAATTATCTAAAGTATTTAGATGTGAGCTTTACTAGAGATGTTTGTTGCTGTTGGAATAACATAAAAGATATAAAACTTTTTATGTGCAGCAAATAATGAAAGACAGATGGATCAATGCAGGACATGAGGATGATGAACTTAAACCTTTTGTGGAACCAGAATTAGACATCGCAGACCAGAAGAGAATAGGTAACCAATGAATTGAAATGGGAAGCATCAATAATTAATAAAATAAATAGTGTACATTGTAATGTGGGGTACTGCTTTGTTTAATGTGCAAATTTATATAGGAGAAAGATATTTGCCATAATATGTAAATTGAGTTAAATGTTCTATTATACATCTATAATTAATATAATATGCCAATCAAACCTGAAAACTCCTTTTTTAGATATTATGGTTGGAATGGGATATTCTCAAGAAGAAATTCAAGAATCTCTTAGTAAAATGAAATATGATGAAATCACTGCTACATACTTACTACTGGGAAGGAAATCATCAGAGGTAAGTAAATTTTTCAAACTAACATTATAAGCTGAATATAATCAAAGCATATTGTTTTATTAATATTTTTTTAAAATTAGCGCTGTGTGTGGTCTGTGTATGTGTGTGTTCACTATTTATCAGCACAAGTTGATTCCCATATCAGTTGTGCAGCAGTTCTTTTTAAATAGGCACATGAATTTAAGGCTTGAAGCAGCTTGTTCTCATAATAAACTAGGATGTAAGCTATCTCAATTGGCTTATATACCCTTGAATATAAAACAAATAATAGTTTGGCTTAATAAGCATCTTAATACACTTGAAATAGTAAATTTAGGAGAGACAGTTTGGTGTTATGGTTGAGGCGTAGAAATCAGGACATCATCCCTTCTGGAATAGTGGTGCTTCTATTTAAGCAAGATTTTACATTTTCTCTCTATACTTCTGTTATTTCACATGTATCCGTTTCCTTTTTACAAGATGGGAGAGAAAGGAAATCACACATACACACAAAAAGCATTTTCAGTATTAATAAAGATAATAGTTTTAGAAAGAAATTACCAGAGTTGTTTACTGATATCCTGCTCTTACATTGAGTCTCTGTGATCAGGGGAGATGCAGATGCAAGATATTAGGTGCACATCTTCATCTTAGTGATGTTGAGTTACTACAAGCTCTGAATATTCATTGGCAGTTGCCAACTGATACCAAACATGCAATGGTAGCGGAAGCACTAGGGAATTTTATATTTCTTTTATAATGGCCAATATTTTTAAATGGAAGTTGTCTTTTCCCCCCTCGTTCCTAACTGGAATTAGGGAAAGAAAAAAAATTACCATGGCAATTGGAAATGTTGAATCAAATAATGATTATGCATTATCAAATCATTGTGGACTTTTAGCAACCACATAAATAGATTTTCTCCTTGAGGAACTATCTCTAACCTGGTTTTTCACCTTTTTCAGTGAGATACTCATCATTTGGAACTGAATCCATCCAGCTTGTTGATGGTCATCCTGTTCCTTTTTTTCCCTTTTATCTTTTCTAATATTAGAGCCTTCACCAGTATTTGTATAATGCAGGTGGAGATTTTCTCCAAGCTTGTGGATTGGTTTCTGAACATTTCGTTAACCAAGCTAGGTAACATCTTCAACTGTGTTCAGGGGATTCAATCCCCTAAATGTTGCTGAAGATATTACCTAGCCTTGTAATGAAACATTCAGAAACCAACCCACAAGCTTGGAAAGCAAAACTTCACCTTCATCCTACACACAAGCTACATAAATTCACCATTTGTATAATGCATCCAAAGTAGGACAGTTTGAGCCTGGTCATTTGTGCCTGAAGTTAGAACTCATTGATTCTCAGATGTCTTCTCCAACAGTATCAATATTCTTCCCATCCTGCTTCTTCAAAGTCCAACTTTAACTTCTCTAGAATGTCACAGGAAATCTCATGATTCTGATCTTAAAATGCTGGATGGCTTTGGAAAAAAAACCCTTGATAATTCTTGGCTTTGTCAGTTTTTAATTAATTTCAGCTGGATGGCTTATGGTAGAATGTCTGAAGGCTGCATGCAGCTTCCCACCACACAGCAGTTGTGTAATCAGAATCCAAAATGGCTATTTCCCCAAGTTTAAGAAAGGAAGTGGTGCAGGAAATTCTGGCAGGCAAAACACTCGTAGCCCCATTTTTGATCTTCCCAACCACACCCAACCAGTAGCAAGGAATAGAATCACAAATAATAATTTTAGTCTGATTGTTTTTTCAGGAGTAGTAAGGTTGAGAAAATTGAGAAAATGACTAGCTTCATACATCACACTAATCCAACTCCCCTCCCCCTACTGAGATGGTGAACCTGTGGCATGCGTGCCAGAGGTGACACACAGAGCCCTTTCTGTTAGCATGTGAGCCATCTCCCCAGCTCAGTTCCGCCGTGCATGTTTGTATGCCTCCCAATGGCCAGCTGGTGTTCGGATCTCTGCCACGCATGCACGGGAAATACACGTGCATGCACAGGGGTGGGGGTGCATACATGGGGATGCACGGACATTGCATTTTGGGGGTGTGCACACATGCATGCAATTTGGGCACTCGGTGCCGAAAAGGTTAGCCTTCACTGGCTACTGTGTTATCATTTAGCATGATGTGTAAAGTCAGCCTCATAGAATTAGACTTAGTTTTCTTTATATTCTTATTGAATGCTGATCCACGTTGCTAATGACCTAAATGCTGATCCATGTTGCTAATAACTAACCTTTGTCCTATCTATTTATATTTAGTTGGATGCTAGTGACTCAAGTTCTAGCAGCAACCTTTCTCTTGCTAAAGTCAGGCCAAGCAGTGATCTCGACAATAGCACTGGACAGTCTCCACATCACAAAGTTCAGAGAAATATATCTTCTAGCCAGAAGCAGCGAAGGTACAGTGACCATGGTGAGTGACTTTTCATTGTCTCAGAACTCTTCTGCTCTAGAAAACCAACACATAGGTGTAGTAGTTGAGTCTCTGCTCCAGAGAAAAAGAAAAGATTGTGCCAGCAATGAAGAGTTTAGCATAAATTCATTTTGGGGCTGCCCTTAAAGAGCATCCGGAAGCTCCAGTTGGTGCAAAATAGAGCAGCCCACATGGTTTTGTGCAGACCCCGGTATGCATAGGTGTCACCGCTCCTGCAGGAGCTGCATTGGTTGCCGATTTGCTTACGGGTGCAATTCACGGTGCTGGTTGTCACCTTTAAAGCCCTTCATGGCTTGGGACTGGGTTATCTCAGGGAACGTCTCTTGCCAGTCACATCTACCCGACCCATTAGAGCAGGGAGGTAGGAAATGTTGTGGGTCCCATCCCTGAGGGAGATACATCTGGTGGGACCCAGAAGAAAGGCCTTCTCTGTGGTGGCTCCCTCTCTCTGGAATATCATTCCCCCAGAGATTAGAATGGCCCCTACTCTAGCACTCTTTCAGAAGGCACTAAAGACCTGGTTTTGCCAGCGGGCTTGGGGAACCCAGAACAGGATGGAGACCATCAAATGGCTAGTGTGATCTGCTGTCGTCAGGGCGGGGGGTAGGAGTTGGGGGGGGGTAATTTTTTTTCCAGATTTTGTTCTATTGTACTTTATTAATTATTTGATTCTTTTTGTTAGTTTTTTGTTTTTTATTTTTATTTTAAATATGGTTTTACATTGTGTAAGCTGCCTCGAGTCGCCATGGGCGAATAGGCAGCAATATACATAAAATAAAATCAATAAATATGACTAATCAGAAAGTTTTTAATTTAATGGTGGAGGCCAACTACATACTACAGCTTCTCTGGTTGCAGATTTAACTATTATTCAAGACAATCTTTATATATAAAAGTGAAAAAGCACTCATGCATCATCACAAAATCTCCAGAACCGTAAAGCCTACAAACTTGAAATTTGGCACATATGTTCCTCTTGGCTTCTAGGTGCTCACTAAGAAAGGATTTTTCAAAATGACCATCACAGCATTAGTATTTCCTATATTATTATTAACAGGCTCTGATGCTAAGGATTTCAACTCCCCCTCCCCACCTGAAAAGAAATCTGTTCCAAATGCAAAACACAAGCAGAGGAGAGGAGTTTCAGTTTCAGTTTTAGTTTCACAGCAGCAACCAGCTTTAGTACAGAACAGATGAGCTAAGCTACGCCCAAACTCCTTGCTGTCTCCTTCTTGCTCACACAGCAAATACTGCTTCAGTTTCCAAACACCCCTCAACTGTTTCACACACTGACAGGAGGCTAGCCAGATGAATACCGATGGATGCTGGTAAGCAGAGGCAGAATTTTCCCCCCTTGTTTTCCTCTCCAAAAACCAAGCCCAACCACATAGTTTTGTAGCGAAGCATGGATCTAGTAGGCTATAAATGTTGATGCCAAGTAAATTCTAAAAACTAATAAAGGGATGTTTGATGTTACATATTTGGACCTATTGCTATATATTTTCACCCAAATACCTTTTCATTATAGAATAAGAGATTAGATATGGTCTATTGACTTATCTCTTGCTATTTCCATTATCCATAGTACAATTTTAAAACAGGATTTTATTACTATATAATTTTACTTAAAGCTTATCAATAAAAAAAGTATCAAATAGCATTCTTACCTAATGGATAGGTTTAATAAGCACATTTTTTCGAGATTTCTTGCCACAAAACACCTTTTCTTCTAGTTCTGTTGTGTGATGGTGGTATATGTGTATGCATGTACTGTTTGCATGAGGAACTTCATGTTTACTCCTACTCTCATTTCCTTTTCTTCTGTGGGGAATCTGTCATTATTTCACAAAGTTACTAATTAAATATGGGATGGTGCAATGGCTCATTGGTTAAGATGCTGCATTTGTTAGCTAGAAAGCTGGCAACCAAGCTTCGATACCTGAGTGCCACACATCAGGGTGAGCTTCCATCCTTGCCCCAGCTCCTGCCAACCTAGCAGTTTATAAGCATATAAATGCAAGTAGATAAATAGGTATCAATTCACTAGCCACAGGACTGTGGAAATGTCTTTGGACAGTGCTGGCTCAACGGCCTTGAAACAGAGATGAGCACTACCCTCTATAATCAAGCAACAACTAGTGGAGTAAAATCCACAGGAATTGCTTTACCTTTTTTTTAACCTAACTATATAGAGCAGCAACTCAATCAAATTTGCTCTGTATGATGTAATAAAAGCAGACATTTTCTTATTTTACATGGATTTGAATCCAAAGTACAATAGATTGTTCTTCTTTTACTCAGTTTCTAACAGTTGTGTGAACAAAATTAAAAGCTCCAGCTTCTTACACCAGTGCAATTTATTACAAGGCAAAATAGGATGTATTTGAATTAATTTTCTAGAGGCTGTATGCTGCCCACCCAAATATCTATAAATTTGAAACACGAAAAAAATGCTAATAAATCTTAAATGGATCAAGACTATTTTGCTTACTACTATACTATACTAGAGTATGTGTTGGTGATGAGATCATTGTGATTTTATTCCAAAAGCAGTTACTTCATTTTGAAGACAAGGGTATCTTGAAGTTTTTAAACTAAGGAAAGCGTACATATATTTGGAGTAGATGGGAAGGCGTGTGTTCTTTTGTCACAAAATTTCTGTGTGTGTGCAGATTAAGTTATAATAACCGCCATTACTGACTGCATAAAAGCAAAATTACATTTAACTATATAAAATTTTTAGTTGAGAGTGAGATGAGTAGCAGCTAAATTTGACAAATAAATAAATCCTCATTGTTTTAAAAGAAAACAGTTGCAGATTCTGTGACAAGATTTGCAGCAGAAAGAAAAATCTATAATAGTCATCCTGGATACAAAGTAGAAAATAGGTTGCATTATTTTTTGTGTGATGTAATAGTTAGGATGTTGTACTGGCATTGGAAGACCTAGGCTCTAATCTATTCGTAGCCACAGAAGTGCTATAAGACAGTCATTTTCCCAGCGTACTTCAAAGGATTGTTGTTGTGGAGAAAAGAGAAAAACTATATGTGCTACTTTGAGCTTTTGAACAAAAGGAATGAAACAAATTTCACAAATACATAAATTATTAAATTCTTTCTGAAGCTCTTGCTAACAGCTGCAAAAGATAAACAGGGTTTACTACTTTAATTTCTTCTTTTCCCCCAAAAGAGCTAATGTAATCAGATGTCTAAGAATGTTTGAAAATTAAAAACAAAACTTAGTCCATGTTTAATATGTGATTGCATATAATAAAAAATCAATGGTTTGAAAAGTTTCATAATATAATTTTTAAGATCTGGTGGTGCCAGGAGCACTAGGCCAATGCTGGCACCGCTAGAGGTCATCAACAAAAGTAATGGTGATATTTCTGTTCAGCGCCTAAGCTTGAATCTTGGCTGGAAAGGGTCCAGCAAATCCATTTCATCCAGGAATCTCTGTAGCTGTAATGCAACAACCTTACTAAACAGGAAAAGTTGGAGAATGGCTGATAGTTGTCTAAAATAGAGGAGTCAAATGATATCATTTTAAGATTGGGAGGGACATAATAATACCTCTTCCAAAGTGGGAGGTAAGCCACCCACATTCAAGGCTTGGTCTTAATTGGAAGTATCTTCAATCTTACAAGAATTAGAATGTGTCTCTAATTTTTATACTTGGGTTTCAGAAAGAAATACTGTATTAGTAGTAAAAAAACAAAATAATTGCCCTAGAACAGTGATGTCAAACTCATGGCATCACGGCATTGTCACGTGACATATCGGGACTCCCCCCCCGCCCCCCCAGTCACTAAACCAGGTGTGGATGTGGCCAGTGCATGACACATCCAGCCCATGGACTGAGAGTTTAACAGCCCTTCCCTAGAGAGTGGGCAACTTAAGAAAAGTAGATGTATTGTTGGTAATGCCCTCACTAAATATTGCTTAGATATAGTTGCTTATTTCTTAAGTATTACACTTTCATGGGTACTTTGCAAGCATAATATACAACAATTCTGTGTTGTTGCTTTTTTTCAGCTGGTCCATCTGTTCCTCCAGTAGTAGCGTATCCTAAAAGGAGCCAGACGAGTACTACTGACAATGACCTCAAAGAAGAAGGGATTCCATCAAGGAAGTCCAGCAGCAGTGCAGCTGGAGGAAAAGGAATTGCTCCTGCTAGCCCTATGCTTGGGAATGCAAGCAATCCAAATAAAGCTGATATACCTGAGCGTAAAAGAAGTTCTGTTACGCCCAACGTAAGTTGTGGATTTTCTTTAAATTATAAGACCATCTTACTCTTGAACCAAACTTACATATTAAGAACAATTTGGGGCATGTTAATTTTTTTATCAGTAAGAAACATGGTATCTCAGGCCTATTCTGTGCTATAATCATTATTCTATAAATTAGTTTAGTAGCATATTAATTCTGAAATTGTCTTACCATAGATTCTGAATGTGACTATGATTGTGAGAATCTGTTGATTAGGTTTTTTTTTTCCTTCTGAGTCAACTTTGAACTTAGGGTAAACCAAGTCATTGTTATGCTACTGACACAATGTTTTTAATTATTTTTGAACTGGCTATTAATGTGGAGTTCTGTAAGGGAAATAGATATTCAGCCATTTCAGATACATGATACAGTTTTCCCAAAATACAGTTGGAGAATTACTACCTTATTTGTTTAAATTTTGATTGTGGAAAGTGAAAATGTTTCTGGTAATTAAATTTGTTGCTTTAGAGTCAGGTAAGCTTTCAGATTTAAGAGGTGAAAGAAATAGAAATGGGGGGAAATGCACACTTAGTATCATCTGGAGATGATCTGATCTATGACAGCGAAGGCAACCTAGTCATATCCTCACAAAATCATCTGCACCATCTTTGGGTTGATCTTTTCCCTGTTCTTATGGCTTTCTTAAACATAAATCAGTCTGACCATCAGCAAATTTCTAGTCTGAGATGCAGTATATTTAGGCTTGTGACATTTCTGGCCCCCATTCGTAGTTAATTGCATTACTCAGAGGGAGAAAAATCAAAACTTTCCAGCTGTTATTGTTTTCTCTTAAGTCACAGTGGGTGCATGTTGATTCCTGATAAATAAGCCCAATAATCATTGTTTATTTGCTATGTATCTCTTTTTAAATAGTCATATCTGATAATTCCATTCTCATTGATGGAAAACTGTTCATGACTTGGACACACTGTTTCTTTGGAAAGTAAGAGGCAAAATAATTATTTAATTTTTGTTTTTGTACTGTTGTCTCTAAACAAAATATTTTAAATGGGCTTGTGGTTATTTTTCTTTTTGTATATTTGTATCCATATTTCATCATGTATTATCCAATATTTTTGCCTAAATCCTTTCTCTTCTTACTTTCTTTTCTATTTAACTAAACTTCCTTTGCAGCTGTTACAAGTAAACATATTTGTATTTTAATCTAAGTTACATTTTATACTACGATTATGCAATGTTCCCTTCCTTAGGTAATCAGTATAAATGTGCTTTTTATTTTATCTAGAGCAACACTACACCTGGAGCCATGACACGACGAAACACTTATGTTTGTAGTGAACGAACTACTGCAGACAGACACTCAGTAATTCAAAATGGCAAGGAAAGCAGGTAAACATTTCTAAAAGGAGGCTTACATTACTATTTCAGGATTATTAAAAGCATATCGGTAAAGGGGTGCTTATTAGGGAAGAAGATAAGCATGAAAAAAGCAAACAATACAGAGAGGTGTAAAATTCTAGGCATGGAATGTTCTGGTGTTTCTCAGAATATTCTGTTATTCTCCTGGAATGTGCAGATTGGCAGAATAGATACTTTTTTCCCTTAATGTTTCTTGATTATACAAAAAGGTAATCAATTGGCTTATTTTACTGCACATTGATAGTAAGCCTGCTTAGTGTTAAAAAACTTTTAAATAACCTTTTTTTTTCTGCGGTAACACCAGAAAAATCTGCTGCCTTTTAGCTATGTACTGTTATTTAATATGGGCAAAAATATGAGATCTAAATAATAAAAATTATCAAACAATTGACTAGAGAAGCAAGTGTTAGTGTAGGACAGGGCTGTCAAACTCCCGGTCCTCAGGCCGGAAGCATCACATGCTGGCCACACCCACATCCAGTTTAGTGAAGAGGGGGAAAAGTGACGACGCCGTGACAATGTGTGTTTGACAACCCTGGTGTAGGACATTTAGTTAAAATCTGAAAATGTATAGAAAGTCTTGAAAGTTTTTTATAAGGAAAATATAGTAGGAATCTTAGGTAAATTGTTTTCTCCATAGTCTTCTGTCTGTTATACATGTATACAGTATTATAATGTATGGGTATTTGTTTTTGTTTGTTTGCTTACTTGCTTTTTGCAACTCATTGGCATATTACAAAATCTTTTTTCTGCTATATACATTTATTACCCTTTTGCAGTATGTTGTGTTGTAAAATGTACAGTATATAACAATATAGAAAAATAATCTACTGTATTATAATCTACAAATCTTTGTCTATATTATGCTGTTTGTAAACACAGCTCTGTAAATGACTGAGGTTATACAGTTGAAATATTTTAGTGAGTTTAAGGTTCCTGTGGCTTTATTCTAGTACCATTCCTGATCAGAGAACACCAGTTGCTTCAACTCACAGTATCAGCAGTGCAACAACACCTGATCGTATCCGATTCCCAAGAGGAACTGCCAGTCGTAGTACTTTTCATGGTCAGCTTAGAGAAAGGCGCACTGCCACCTATAATGGACCCCCTGCATCACCTAGTTTATCTCATGAGGCAACACCACTTTCACAGACACGAAGTAGGGGCTCCACTAATTTGTTCAGTAAATTGACTTCAAAGCTGACTAGAAGGTATGTATTTTTTAAAGAATCACAAACTAAGTTATGATTACTACAGGAATTTTCCATACTGAGCAGCATTTATATACATGTGGCATTTTTATGTGTCAGTGGTTTTTTTCTGAAACTATTTTTAAAAGTTGAAGTATTGACTATTAAAGTATGGAAATTATAGATCAAGTTCAGGAGCATTACTTTGTAAATGAGCTGCTTGTGTTTTCTCTCAGACAAATGTTACCTAAAATGGGTAATACAGTAGATTTTCATCCTTCAGAGAGAACTGTAGTTGTGGAAGCCAATTAAAATGACTCTTTTAAAAAGTGGGAAATACAATATAGAACATCTGCTGTAATGTGGCATATTTTAATGAGTAGGACTGTAGAAAATGTTCCATGTGTCTGGATCAGTTGGATTCAGGATTCGCTTTGATTGAACTGATAAAACATGCATGTTAACAATACTTTGGTTCAATGCACAGTCAACAGTTCATCTGGATGGAACTGTATAGTTCCTGATAAGGAGAATAATGTTCGCTAAAGAGAGGTAGGAGGAAGTTCTGAGAAAATTGGGGGATGGCAGGGCAGAGAGACATACCAAGTGGTGGGTGATATTGGTGTTGGCTGAAAGGAATCCCCTGGGAAGATTGGGAGGCAGAGAGGCAGAGGAAATACATGTGCCAAGTTGAACTTGATCTTACCAACAGAATCTTTGTTTGGCTAACGTTTCTGAAACGTTTCCTCTTTGCTGTCTATCTATTTAGTTGTTTTATTGTGGTTCAACTCTGTAACATATCACGAGAAAATGAGAAGTGTTCTTTATAAGAACTTTTCTCAAAATGCACAACAAACAGGACACAAAGAATTAACTTTAGATACTATGGTATTATTCAGTGCTTTAGACTTGTAGAGACAGAAGCAGATAAATTGGACAATATAGGTCAGGGGTCGCCAACCTTTTGGACCTCAGGGACCACCAAACTCATAATTTTAAATCCCAGGGACCACTAATATGAATTTTGATGGACAGTGGCTTGCTGACATTGGTGGGAGAGAGAGAGAGAGAGAGAGAGAGATCTGATCTAACTTACCTCTCTCTCTCACACACACACACAGAGGCAGGGGTGGGATTCAAATTTCCTAACAACTGGTTCTGTGGGCGTGGCCTAATTTGCAGGTGTAGTTTGGTGGTCATGTGACTGGCTGGGCAAGGCTTGTATGTAAATATTATAAATATTAATATAAATATTGATTTTTTTTTAAAAAAGAGCAACTTTTATCCAAAATCAGGCAGAGTAGGCAGGCAGATTGAGTTGCTCACAGAATCACAGATTTATTCAGAGATCTGTGAGATCAGTTACCTGAGCCTGTCACATAAAATTTGCTAGTAAGAAAATTCACAGAATTAAATCACAACACACCATGTATGTAAATATTGAATTTTTTATTTTAAAAAGAGCAACTTTTACTCAAAAGCAGGCAAAGTAGGCAGGCAGATTGAGTTGCTCACAGGATCACAGATTTATTCAGAGATCTATCTATCTGCCATTGGCTAGCTGAGTCTGCACTGCTCCAGTTCTAAGGAAAGTTCTAAAGATTAGCTAGAAAGCAAGAAATGCGACGATTTCCTGCTTTCTAACTAATCTAAATCCCCTGGCACAGCAGAACAGCTGATGGTCGGAAAAAGGAAAAATAGCAATTTAACAGGCAAGTTTGCCAGGTAAGGACTGAGTAGCTGGGGAGGGTGTTCCTGCACAGCCTGGGTTAATTGCTTTGGGGGGTGCTCTGGGGGGGTCACATTGCTCTGCACACCACCAAAATTTTCTTGCAGACCACCCGTGTGCCACGGACCACCGGTTGGCAACTGCTGGTATAGGTGCTATATAGGCTCAAAATGAAAATCAGAGAAAATGACAGTTCCAAACATAACATCTTTTACACCTTTTTGTCTACTTTCAAATAATGAAAGTTATGGTTGCAGATTTTACAAGAAATGTGAGAAAAAGGATTCTTTCTATGGGTATTTATCTTTGTTTGAAATTATTGATTACTAGGAGCTGCACCTCCAAAACTCCCATGTTTCAGAGATCCCAGTTGCAACTAATTAAGCAAATAGGTAAAGTCCATTCCTTAGTTGTAGAAGATGTTTTGCAAGCAGAAGATACCAAGTTCTATCTTCAATATTTCCATGTAAATTTGGATGTCTGCGGTAGTTCATATATTGAACTTCTTGTGTTTTTTTCACTAAAAAATCTCCGAATGCTCCTCAGCAGTTTTTTTGTAGGAGAGTTTTACTGTTCCACCATTGCTCAGATCATTTTAATGATGCCTGATTCGGGTTTAAACCACACATGCAATATTAATCTTTGCCTGTACTGATGCATTGGATATCCAGTACAAATCTTATGACTGATGAAAAAGAGAAGAATTCTATTCATTTGGTAGCAGGGAACTTGGACATGGAGTACAGATGAAGGAGAATGTTTGGAGTTCTGTTAACAAAAGTTAAGAGCACTGTGGAGAATCTTTTGGGCCATCTAGTTCATTTCTTTCATGAATACAAAATGTTTAACTTTTTAAAAGTCATTTTAGTCCAAAATTGGAATGTACAAAATTCAACAATTTGGGAATTAAATATTTTGTTCCTGAGTAGACAAATTGTACATCCCTAGCCCAAAATATTCAAATACTTACAACGTGAGTTCCCATTGTATCTGAAATTTTTAAAGAATGTCTGTAAACATTCTGAAATATGTATGGTACTAATCTGCTCAGTATTTCAATCCACATCTACACTCTTGAATCATACATAAATAATTTATTGACATACTTTTTAAGCAAAGTCCTTTTGACTAGTTAATCATATTTGTAGAAAACTTGTTTATAATGTACATATATGTTGTCATATTCAGAATGGATTCCTAAAATATGTGCATTCAGAAAGCAGTATTTTTCATATCTAGTTACCAAAGATGTAATATGTGCATTATTTCTGCTATTGATCAGAGTTATATATACAACTGGCCAAACATTTAAATTTCACTTCAAAATGTTGTATTTTTATGCTTGGAATAATTCGTACATCTTTCCCAAACCATCATCCTTTGTCTATGTATTTATGCCCTACAACAGTGTTGTTTAGACATTTAAAGCATTAAACAAAATATGAGTGTTTATCTTATTTGAAATATTTGTGATTCTGTCCTTGGAAAAATAGAAAAAGTAGTAGATTTAGGTCATATAATGAGGAAATAAATTAGAAAAATAAGTTCTTTTTTTCAAGTCCCCAGTGCTTTAAAATACACTGCTTTAGATGTAGACATTTGTTTATAGGGAGAAGCCAGCAGAAAGGAAATAGAAATCACTCCTATTTAAATCATCTGATTATTTCTTTCAAGCTCTGAGAATGTAGAGGAAATTCAGAAAAAAAAACTGGTAAAACCACTTGTCAATTTTTCCATCCAGTTTTTGATGACCCTTTTCTTCTTAAATGCCTAGTGAGATCTTCTATTCTGATAATGTAGAGAAAATCAGCATTTGTGGGTTGGTGAAGCAAATAATCTTCCACCTGTCTCCTCTCAGGGCTGATATCCTGTGTTTATTGTTTTCCAGAACATGTGCATACTGTCTACAGCAGGGGTGTCAAACTCACGTCCTCATGGCAGCGTCACATGACATATCAGGACTTTTCCCGTGGGCATGTGCAGCATGTGACACATCCAGCCCATGAGCCGGGAGTTTGACAGCCCTGGCCTACAGTAATCTATTACAATAGTATATAGTAATACACTGCCCTAATGTCTTTGGTTAATGATAAAATGTAGAAAGCAGAAATGACATGAAAGGATACTTTGCTACTCAGAAGACATTCTAGATCAACTATTGATAAGTACTAGAAGAAAAATGTTGAATTCCTCATACTGAAAGGCCATCCCTTTCAATAGCTATTTTTAATTTAATTAATGAATTTGAAGTGTTTCCATAGTTCATTCAGCTGGGCTTATTCTGTGTCTCACACATTGAATAGATTTTCAGTTTATTTCACCAATAACACATTTGTTAATTATTATTTTGGCTTTAATTTCTTTTAGAAACATGTCATTCAGGTTTATCAAAAGGTAGGATTTTATTTATATTTTAAGAACCAGCTCTTGCAATTAACACCAAATTTGGCTTTCTAGCCTTGATTTTTCTTTTTAAAAATAAAACAACACTAAACTTTCTGCTGAGAACTAAAAATACTTTTCATGAACCCAAGAAAATAAAATAAAAAACTTCATATTAACTAATGACAATCCCTGTGGACTCCTGAATAATGAGATGCAAAGCATGCCTTGTGCGCTTTACTTACTTCAATAGTTCCAAAAATAATTTTATTCTTTATACTAATACACTTAAGCATGCTTGTGATTGGAGATTGATGTTTGGTGATACTGATTTAAACGAGTAATGTACAAGAAACAGGTAAGTAACTCAGAACTTGCTTTATTATTCACATTTTAGTTTTAGTACCGTGTAAATTTCCACTAATAATACATTCAGAAGCTATTTGTGATTTGCAAATAAGCTATTAATATTGATAATGACAGTGTTAAATATCTTTAAGATTTTCAAAAGAGTATGTGTGTGTGTTGGTGGTATTTCTGCTGCTAGTTTGATATTGATGAATATGTTAATCAGAAAAGGAGAAATAAAGAAGCTATTGCTTCCAACTTTTCTCCCTTGTCAGTTTGCAGCCAGGAAGAGCTTGTTGGAGCTTGCCTGAATATTCTGCAAGTCTGAGAAATATTTTTTATACTCCTTGGTTTAATAAAAAGTGGAATATACCTTATTGCATATATGTATAATTTGAACTGGTTTGTTCACTGTCTTCGCCATTTTCAAAATTAGTCATCAGTTAGTGTGTACTTGTACTTTTTGTTACTGCCTTCATTCATTCAGCCTCTCTTCATACACTTTGCTTCATGTTCTTTTACTTGGGAGCTTCTCCACTTTCATATGGACTGCACCCAGTACATATGCCTTATAAGTAGAGTTTTCTTATGCAATAGGAGTTGCCTTTGCTTTATTTCCTGGATGCTGGATAGTCTCCCAGTTCTTCCAAGTATGAAGAAGGGAGAATTAATTCTATTGGCAAATACTCATTCAGTGTTTGATAGATACAACAGTTAAGACTATTAGAGCTATTTTGCATATATAGTATTCAGCTTGCAGTGGTCTGCATTGCTAGCCCTTGAGTTAACTGTAGGTAGTTTAGTGACTATTCAAAGTTAAAATGGTGCTGGAAAAAAGTTACTTATGACAGGTCCTCGCATTTACAACCTTCACACATCTTTGCAGTCAAGTGATAGCAACCCAAGCAACTGGCACCCCCCTTATATTTACAGCAGCTGCAGTGTCCTCGGATCAAGCGATTGCCATTTTCGACCTTCCTAGCTGCCTTCCAACAAGCAAAATCTACAAGGAAGCCAGTGGCAAGGTTGCATGACAGTCATGTGATGTCTCACTTAACAATCACCATGATTCACTTCATGACTATGGCAAAAAATGTAAAATTGGATGCAATCCCATTGATGCCTCACTTAACAACTGCACCACTTAATGGCAAATTTTCTGGTCCCAATTGCAGTCATCGGTTGAGGGCTACTTATAGATTGAATTAAGCCACTGTTCTTTCAGGCCCAAATAACGTTGTACGGGTTACATAATTAAAGCTGTTGTCAATGGGCATCCCAGGAGGCATAGGTGTTGTTCATTTCACACGACCAATGAAATGCACAAGTCCTTAGTAAGAATAGTATTCCCCCACTATTCTTGCACATAAAACTGATATTTCTTTCTGTAAAATTACTTAAGACCTCTCCAAAGTGGCAAAACCATTTCAAATACAATTAAAATTTATTTTGCTTTGACTTGTGTTGTGTATATTTCCCTAGTGGTGTCTGCATCATAATAGCCTTGTTTGACTTTTAGTGTAGTTTTATACAGCTATTCTGATAGTAGCAAACAGAGAGGCATACTTGTTTTGACTTAAAACTAATACATTTTACTTAGTTAACAGAGTATAAAACCAGTGAATACTTTAGCTTCATTTTTTATAACTTTCTAACACTCTTTTTCAACCTCCCCCCAAATGAAATAATAAAAATATAAAAATCTATTAAAATGCATTTTTTAAAAGAAGCAACAGAACAGCAGTAGAAACCATTCAGGCACTGAAACCACCAGGAGAAAACTGTCTAAAAAGCACTTTTGATTCTGTATTGATTATTTATAACTATAATTTTAGTACATTCTGCTTGTATTGTTGTCAATTACAGCTTAATTGACAGCATAAAAGCCATCTGGTTTTGTGGCTGCTGTATGCCAGTTTTCCAATTATAAATTCCTATTAGGTTGTTCTTATGTGAGTTAACTGCTTAATTTATAATGTTTAGCGTATATCTTGCATCACTATATTAACAACCTAACAAAATTTACCAGTACAAGTGCTCTTGTATAACACAGTGCCAAAACAATAAATTACAGCCAAATATCATATTTCTTATTTCTCTTTTATTATCTTCCAGTATATTTTGCTTTTCTAGGACATAGTGCAAATGAAAGGAAGAAGTTATATTACTATTGTTATGTTGGAGACCAGTACTTCTAATATTAAAACATTAATAAGCCTTTGAATTGTTCTACAGAACGCTACTGTCAAATTTTATAACTGCAGAATTGGACTTCACATTTGTATGGAGCTCTAGATTACAGAGTTATAAATCCTTATAGATTTAATACATAGTGCACTGAACTGCAAAAAGAAATTAGTTTTCATAGATTTGTGAAATAGTTCAATTATATCGATCAGCTTTATCTTCATATAGCAGCCAGCCAGCCTGTTTAGAACATATTTAGATGCTGCCTTACAGCCTTATTTTCCATACAGAATACTATGTAGAATTTCACCTGAATATGTTGAGCCAATCAAATATATTTTTTATTGTTTCTATATTGTATACTGACTTTTGAGGTAAAACTTTCTATATCAGTGTGACTAAAATTCCACACAAAGCTGTGATAGTTCCACAATTAGGGATTCAGAAAAGATCTGTATAAAGACTTAGTCAGCATACTTTCAGTTTAGTATCTCAGACTTCTAAAAATAATATAGATAGCTCTGAACTTACAATGCCAAGAAAGGATTTCTTCCTTATTACTTTGTTAGCTATCTATCTATCCATTGACAGTAATTTTGTAGTAGGCAGAAATTTATTTTAAACAGAGGTTTAATATATTTCTTTTTAAAACCATATAGTAATTAGAAAATATAGAAGATTGGTTGAGATTCTTGTTTCACATCCAGTTTATGCAAGTTTTATTTTCATTTCTTCCTGAAAGAATTAAGATGTATTTATCTTGTATTATTACTATTTTCTTTAAAGATTTATTGTTAACAGATAGGGAGAAGTATAAGTACATGAAGTTACAGAATAATAAAATTTCTAGCTGAAAATATGGATACTGTGAACAGCAATTATCAAATTGGCTGTAAAATTTTCTTTATGTATCAAATAAATGCTGCTAAAATCCTGGGAAGAATGTTCTATTAGCTTATCTTAAACTGAAATAAATTTTTATTGCTTTAATTTTTTTCCTTCCTATCTAGCACCTTCTGCAAGTAATCAAATCTTTCACAACCAACTTGTTTCTAATATCTCTAGAATATCTCAAACAGTAAATACCTGAGGCTTCCCAATATATTTGATACAGAAAAAGGCATGCTTGATATCCTGAATGTACTGATTATTTCTGTGTTTAAAACCAAACAGTGAATTGCAGTTAAATTTAATGAGATTTCAGTGTGCAGTGTTCTGCCATCATTATTTGTGCTAGTGTAAGATTTGTCTTCTCTTTCCTGCTTTCTTTGTGCTTCGGCATTGTTTTCATTGAGGCTCCCGACTGAATATGAGAGGAATGGGAGATATGAGGGTTCAAGGTGAGGGAAAAATTGTTTTTTGCTTAAAATTTTAACTTAGATTAGTATGTCTCGTTCTCCCCTCCTTCAAAATACGTAAGGGTGTTGGTGGCGGTGATTCTTAAATATCTGAAACCCAAAATGCCTTCTATCTGCAAAACTGTGATTAAGTCATTCAAAGTACACGATTCTGATTTCTCATGCAGGTCTAGACCTACTTCCACATCCTTAGAAAGAATCCATGATCTTAGCTGCAATGTAATAAATCAGCTCTGAGAGATCCAGCTGGTAGTTTGCTGCTAAAGAATACTCTCCATTTAGCTTCAGATTGTCCTGAAAGGAAGCTACTTTCACTGCCAGATAAAGAAGGAGCTACATGCTGAAATTGCCAGTTCAGATCCTAGGATGGGAAAACATCCTGCCATAGAAGCAGTTTCATGTGACTAGGACTTAATCACAGATGTCTGTAACAAGGGCTTTGAATGACAAGCTAATATTCTTTACATAAATTCATAGATTTTATTGGCCTAAAAACCCCAACCACCACCACCTCTAGGATCCTGTTAGAAAATACCACGTTAGGAAATTAAATGAAATGTAGTTCTTTTCTTGAATATGCCACAGTGTTATCTCTGAAGCACCTGGTGCAATTCTGATTCCATGCACAAAACTTAACAGTACTAGATAACTTTATTTTTTAGAATTTAGGTGATTAATGCTTTTCAGAAGGGCATGGCAATTTTTCACAGGATCAAGAAGCAGAAGAGTATGAACTTCTAAAAATTCCCAAGACCTCATTTTATCTTAGCTTATCCCCAAAGAGTAAGGGAATTGGGTTGGGAAAGGAATGAGGCCATTTGTCAGATAGAATCAAATGTATTTTCACCCAGAAGACTATAGTTCGATAAACAATAAGCAACAGCTGCTGTTATAAATTGAACCAGATCGCAATTTATAATTTTAATTCTAATTTATCTATATATACAGTGTAACCATTACAGAATATGTATGTTAATTTTGCTGTTTTTCTGGAACAAAACATAAATGGCAGTTTTCATCCATACAAATTATGGGTGATAATTTATAAAATAATCTGGTGAATCCATATTATTAATGTAAAACATGAAAAATTATAATCTCTATATTTTTTAAAGAAAACAGAAAATTTTAAGTCTGAAGTTATCATCTAGCAATTATAAACTTTTAAGTAGTCTTTTCTAATAGGTTCGAAGTGTAGCACCAACTTGTTGTGCTCTCCCTAAAAAGTCTTAGTAGTGAAGTTGTTTCTTAAAAACCCCAATTCCCAATGTTGTAAATTTCCCTGAGTATACTCTATAAAATTTGGCATAGGCAGGCCTATTTGTTTGTATTTTGTGAGGATAGGAATATGACCAATAAGGGAGAAAGATTTGGAGCAGAGAAGTTGCAGCAAAGTAATACGCAATACCATAGTCACGCTTCCATTTGCAGCCCCCACCTCACTCCCATAACATCTGCTTTCGGGAGGAATTAACTGTGGCCTTTAACTTTATAGGGCTGTGTCTAATTCATGTGTTGCTAAACACTAACCTAAGCTTTTTAATACTGATAGAAGAATGTTTTTAATAATGCATGCCTCAAAACACAATAGCTTTTACCAATAGCAGTTTCCAGGTTCATCCGTGAATATTGAAACTTGATTTCATTTCAGTCGTAACGTGGCTGTTGATCAGAAGGATGACAGCAAGGAAGCCAAACCCCGTTCACTACGATTTACTTGGAGCATGAAAACTACCAGTTCAATGGATCCTAATGATATGATGAGGGAAATTCGCAAGGTCCTGGATGCCAATAATTGTGACTATGAACAGAGGGAACGTTTCTTGCTTTTCTGCGTCCATGGGGATGGCCATGCAGAAAACCTCGTGCAATGGGAGATGGAGGTGTGTAAGCTACCCAGACTGTCCCTGAACGGAGTTCGCTTTAAACGGATATCGGGAACATCCATAGCTTTTAAAAACATTGCTTCCAAAATTGCCAATGAATTAAAGCTGTAATGAGAGGAGCAATCGAGTTTGTAAATTAAATAGCAAATTCAAGTGTTTTTGTTTTGTTTTTGAGGACACCGATGGTCATGTATAGAATACTAGGGCAATAACTTCTGCATCTTCTGGATCGTGCTATTGAAACAAAACAGTTCAGACAAGCTGCTGAGCTGGGAGGGAAGTTGGACTTTTTTTATAAGTGCACTACAGCATTAAAGTTGCCTATGTAAAATATTCCCTTCTGCTTTATTTCCATTGCTTTGAGTCTTGACAAACAATCTAAAACACACCATGTATACATTTGAATATTCCTCCTGTTGTGTGGATGTGTGAATGTACAGTATGTGTGTATAATTATAATATAAAAGTATTATATGTAAACAATTCATTTATAGCATCAGAACTGTACCAGTACCTCTTCCAGGTTAATTTTGGTGCTAAAATTGAGATGGCCAAGGTGAAAGTCCTTAAGAATACTAAATAATTGGTAAACACAAGTTTCACAGTTCACTGTTGTGTTTAAGACTACAAAGGTTTGGGTTTATGGGTGTGAACATTATTCCTGTGTTTTTTAAAATTAATTTTCATGATTTAAATCCCCCCCCAAATCATTCTTTCTTTTCTTTTGCCTATTTATTATTATTTAAGTCTGAAATCAGTTTAAATTACTTAATTATGATAATGAAAATTGTGGGGGAAAGACTTCAAGGTTACATGTTTTTTCATGAGCATTTTGTCCTCTCCTTTTTTTTTCTAGTACACATAATTTTAAAATTTTTACTTGAAAAATTTATTCTCAACTCCCATTCATTTCAGTGGAGCTGGTGCAGGGAAAACTTGTTGCTAATTAAATACTGTAGAAACAGCCTGAACACTTGATATAAATTTTGCATTTAGGCTGCCTTATAATAATGTATTTTGAAGTAAAAAACATATACTCAGACATTTGTAGTATGAAAGAAATTCCTATGACAAAATAGCTGGGCCAGATCAGCAAAAAAATGATCAAGAGAGAATTCTTGAATTCCAGTAATTTAACTTTCTTGTACAATGACTGATAATGTTAATTATAAACAAAACACTATCACCATAGTTCATAAAAGTGAGAAAGTATGACCTGTCCAGTCATTTATGTTTCATTTGGTCTTTCCCAATTGTTTGCTGTCCAGATTTTAAAATTGGTTATGCAGGTTGGGAATTATGGGAATGGTAAATTATATATATATAAATTATATATATATATATATATATTGCCATCATCAGGCTTCTGCATTGAGGCTGGACGAACACTATACAAAGCCTGATGAATGGCAGATGAGATTCTGCCAAAACGTTGCTACAACTTTAAAAGCACAACTATAATGACGTGGGAAAATACCCGAATTCAGCTTTGTTCGGGTATTTTCCCACGTCATTATATATATATGGGAGATGAGAGCATTGAGGAAAGCTATTCTAAGTCTATTTCACGTGTTTCAATTTTGTCAGAGGGTTAAACTTCCTTGAAGCCTTGTTGCTGGTCCAGTCTTCCGTTATCATCAATTACATCTCTGTAGTAAATTCTGCTCTTAGAGAGAAAAAGCTGTTGAAAACAGGGTGGGTAGGTAAAGAGGATTGCCTGCCAGTGACATGATAGCTCATAATTTCCATTTGGAAATACTTTGTAAATCTAAACAGATTTATATGTTTTCTTGCACAGCTTCATATTTAAAAATATTTTAGTCACAGTGCACTGGAGTTTAAAGAGGGGTTTGTAAATGACTTAAATCTTTATTGTTATACTGGGTGCATAAATCCAATTCCTGGACTTCTATCTAAACTTCTATTTCCTTGTGACAAAGCTTCAGACATTCAGTGTAATTATGATGACTAAAACACTTTTCAAAAAGGCTTACTGATCCTGCATTGCAGGTGATACGAAGCAATTTCAGGGTGTACTCTACATGAATTGGCTGTAACTATCTGCCTTTTTCAAACTGCTATCTCCTCTGCTGGTCCTTATTAAACTGGGTATGTTTTGTCTAAATCAAATCAAAGGATGATATATTTTTTGCTGACTGAATCAATGCATTTTGATTCAAATTTGATTGGAGCTTAAATGATCATGTATTAGATAATATGGTCTGGCAAAAAAAACTTCATTTAAAATGTAGTGAATTGAATTCTAATATTTCATTTGGAGGCACCCAACTAAAATTCAATCCAGAACGGTATACAGAATATTTCAGACATTTTTCATCTAAGTGTAATTCTCCCTTGAAACTTTGTAAAGATGTTATATTAATCCTGCATTGCTGTAGTATAGCACAAAGTGACTGACTTCTGTTTTTTTATAAAGAAAAGAACAGTATTCTGTATAGAGATATAATTATAACAATTGTTCAACAGTGGCTGTAGCAAGTACTGATTCTCCGTTTTGTCAAAGCAATAAATAACATTTCAGGGCAATTATTTAAAACTTCAGGTGAGTATCCATCTGTCCTGTTATCTTTCCTGTTTAAATCTTTTTAAGCTAATTGAACTTTTTAATGCATAAAAATTGCCCGTTTTTATATTGTTCTGAAGAGAGCCAGGCCAAAAGTGAGAAGTAAAAAGGATGTTTCAAGATGATAATATATATTCTTTAGAGTCTGCAGACTTGCTGAATGAGATTTTACCATGTTCATAATTTCTGTGCTGAAGGTATTCTGCAGTACCAACCTTCTGGTGATGCTATAGGTTTTCTAATAAATTTCTCACCTGCCATAACTTGTTTCTATTTGTCAGTCACATATATTGTACTCATCTTAATTTTGAATTAATTCACAGATTTAGAATTTTAAAGCACCTAATTAAATATTCCATTGTCTACTTCATAATCGGGTGGCATGCTACCAGTTCGGCCCAGTTCTATAGACACTGAACTGGTTTGCTGCAACAACCTTTTGTTCATCTGTTTGGCCTACCCGCCTGCCCGGGCTCTTGGCTATTCTTTATTTCCTGCTTTTTCAACATCAGCTGCTTTGTGCAGCACAGCTGAGGTTGAAAAAGCAGAAATGAAGAAGCTTTTCAAATGCTGTGCACCTGCATGCAGCGCTTGTCAGCTGTCCGAGTGGCATAGCTGAGGTTTTTGGAAATGCTGTGCGCACACAAAACGCACTCTCACCGACCCGGTAGTAACACCGGTTGAATCCCACCCCTGTTCATAATTCACCCAATTCTCTAGCTACTGTTTATTCTACCAGGGAGATGATTGTCTTAGCAGTATGATGGAGTCATCTTATATAAATAGACATTGGAAAGGAAAATAGCTTCTGCCTATTGTAAGAACATTCTTGCTTCTCATTTTTAAGAGGCAGCTTTTTTGGAAATGCTATTATTACCAGAGAAACTCAAAATCTTGCTTACAAACACCACTGTACTTTTTTTCCCCTGAACTTCCTGTTTCCAGTTTAATGCTAAGTGTAGTTCAAATGTTAATGTCATTTCCAATTTGCTCTTTGAATATATGATCAGTGCCTACTGCTTGGGATATATAATTTTGGTGACAAATGAGATAATATTGCTTGAAACAAATAATTGTACTAAGCCAAACATTTCTTAACACTGTTTCTGTTTTAATTTTATACTGTAGCTATATATAGAAGTATTGTTTCCTATAAAAGAATGAAAAGGTATTCAGTCAAGAAACTTATTTAAAAGTTTAGCACCTATTTCCCATAATGGTCTACCACAGTGGTGGCTAATCTTTTTTGGCTCCTGTGCCAAAAATTGTGTGCGTGCTTGCATGCTCGCATGCCAGCACCCAGAAGGCAATGTGCCCCCCCCCACTACCCCTATGCATGTGCGCACAATCCACACCCACCCACACCCACCCCCTTATCTGCACTGTGTTCACAGCTGATTTTTGGCCAGTTTGAAGCCTTTTACGGCCTCCTGGAGGCTTGAGGAAGGCATCTGTAGGCTTTGCAGGCTGAAAACTAGGCCCGTTTCATCACTTCCGGAAAAACAGGAAGTGATGAAACAGGCCTAGTTTTTGGACTGCTAAGCCTGTAGAAGCCAGCAGAAGCTTTCCTCAAGCCTCTGGGAGGCCGAAAAAGGCCTCAAACCTGCCAAAAATCAGCTGTGAGGCGCCCTCATGCGCAGTGAGGTAAGTTTGCCTGCAGCTCGCATGCTGGCACAAATGGCTCTGCGTGCCACCTGTGGCATACATGCCATAGGTTCACCATCACGGATCTATCAATTGCATAAATCTCAGTGGCTGGTATAAAAACAACAAATGTTGATCATTATTAAGTGTTGGCATTCTGAAGCTCTGCCTCTCTCAATTTAGTTTTTATCAGACACTATGACTATTCTGAATAGTATATTGAACATGTACTTGTTTTTTTAAATGCAATCAGCATTAGAATGAAGAAATGAATGAAAAAAACCAGTATCTTCCAGAATTTAAATACTTATGTCCTAGTGTTAAGGCTAATGAAGGCTTATGCAAAAAGTCCAAAACAAGTGAATACTGAAAGTTGTCCCTAGATATCATAATGCTTAAGTGAGTGTGGATTTTCTTATAAATCTGCACTTTGCAATTCTAGGTTTCTTGTTCAAAGTCAGTTTTGGATTTTACTTTTTTAAATAGGGGTCCTTCAATGATTTGGTTACATCACTAACTCATTTCCAAATTCATGTGGAAGCTGAATGGGTCCATTTACATGTAGAATTATGGTAGCATAGTCAGTGATCCGGGTCTCAACACATGAATTAGGAAATTTTACATTTATGTTGTAGCATCTACTTAATTACTCCGTCTACATGTTCCTTATACATTGCTTTCTTGGCAGAAGCCAGTCCAATTCCTTTTCAGCAGGTCTTATGTATTGTACCAATAAAAGAAAATATAAGTAGCTCAGGGTTGAACTACGGAGTCTTGGCACTCTCTGAGCTTGGTTCATTTCATTGACTATTACTAGCACTGATAATGGCTAGTCTAGTCATGAAACATCTCAAGCAAACAAGCTCAGCAAGCATCAAGGATTCCACTCATATATTGTGTTTTTCCAGCAACTTGTGTCTATGAATAACAGTTAAGTTAAATGCAGTTAACTTCATTTAAAAATAAATGTTATTAAATTCAGGATAAATAGGGTAAATTGACTGAAAGGGCAAGAATAAGTCCTTAAAATCCCAGCTATTAACCAGGAGGCAGGGAGAGGATGCACCCAGAAATGATATTGAAGATTTCTGGAAATGACTGGTAT